TCTATACTTCAAGACCATCATGATCATGTATCATTTTTGAAGTTGATACGGAATATTTATCAACAAGGTCTTGGTAACTACCGACGAACTTTTTTTAGAAAAGGACGAGACATTCTTTGGCATAACTCTGGTTCATCAATCTTCTGCTCAGACACTGGTGACGTTTTATAAAGTCTGAGTAGCAGCTGCAAGCTCTTGAATACCGAATGAGTTGGGAAATGTATATCCCATATGCAGGTGAAGTTGGTATATTGCTACTAAGGTGGGGGAAATTGATAATTTCAAAATTAAAATCGTCTCGTTTGTCATAGATTCTGGTACTGAGATGTCAAATTCGAGTTATAAGTCTAAAAATGAGGCGGAGGAAGCCGTGTCTGTTGTTTCTTTAATTTCTAGTTCTGGAGGATATATTAATGGAACCCAATCAGAAAAATTTGGATTGTTAAAGGAAAGAACATCATCAATATATCTGAATGTGAAATTAAATGATCTGGCTTGTTTGATCTTCTTGTTTTTGACAAGTGTCTGGAGGAACTCCGTCTCATATGAAAATAAGAAGAGGTCGGCAAGGAGAGGCGCACAGCTCGTTCCCATAGGAATGCCGACAATTTGTTGAAAAAGTCTACCTACAAATTCGACGAATATGTCGTCAATAAGAAACTGGAAGGCGCGAATCTACAGTGTTTGTAAGTAAGGCCATGTGAATGGCCCAAAAATGCCGCATGATCCTATGTTTTATAGTTGCAAAAGATGGGGCTATATTTGTACTTTGATGAATGATATATGAAAGATTCTGATTTCTAGAGCTAAAGCAAGAAATAGGTTTACATTGAAGTCAATCGGAGATTTTTTACTGAATTTAACAATAATAAAAACCATCGCATACAAAGGGAGATAAACTTAACAGGTGAATTTGTTAAATTATCATAAGTTTATTAAATGTAGTGCCTGCACAGTTTCCACTTAAATCTACTATTTAGGAAAAAATAAAAAGCTGACATTGATTTAGTTGAACAGTACGGTCCAGGAGCGGATCCAGGAAATTTGAAAATGGGTAAGTCAGGAGCCTTTAATTCAGTGGTTGTCGTTTGTTGCTGTGTTACATATTTGTTTTTCGTTCATTAATTTATTTTGTACATAAATTAGGTCGTTAGTTTTCTCGTTTGAATGGTTTTACATTTGTCATTTCGGGGCCTTTTATAGCTGACTACGCGGTATGGGCTTTGCTCATTGTTGAAGGCCGTACGGTGACCTGTAGTTATTAATTTCTGTGTTAATTTGGTCTCTTGTGGAGAGTTGTCTTATTGGCAATCACACCACATCTTCTTTTTTATAAGTAATTCCCTATAACTGAATATATACTGCCGAGCAGAGCTAGACGAAATTTGTACTAAACGAGTATACTAAAAATGTAAATACATCGTGAAAAACATGGCATTTATTATTTATTTGGCTAACAAAGGGGGCGTACGCCCTCTACAACCCCTAGATCCGCCACTACGGTCTAACAATATGAGTTATTTTCTTTAATCTTGTAAACTATCAAGTACATGTAGCATTTAGTATGAATGAAAGAAGATCAGGGCACGTTCATGACACATGATAACACTACGTAGCATAGACCGCGTACACAGCAGTATAACACTACATATATAAAGATAAGTAGCATAGGCCGCGTACACAGCAGTACAACACTACATATATAAAGATAAGTAGCATAGACCGCGTACACAGCAGTATAACACTACATATATAAAGATAAGTAGCATAAACCGCGTACACAGCAGTACAACACTACATATATAAAGATACGTAGCATAGACCGCGTACACAGCAGTATAACACTACATATATAAAGATAAGTAGCATAGACCGCGTACACAGCAGTACAACACTACATATATAAAGATAAGTAGCATAGACCGCGTACACAGCAGTATAACACTACATATATAAAGATAAGTAGCATAGACCGCGTACACAGCAGTACAACACTACATATATAAAGATACGTAGCATAGACCGCGTACACAGCAGTATAACACTACATATATAAAGATACGTAGCATAGACCGCGTACACAGCAGTACAACACTACATATATAAAGATGATTAGCATAGACCGCGCACACAGCAGGATAACACTACATAAATAAAGATACGTAGCATAGACCGCGTACACAGCAGTACAACACTACATATATAAAGATGAGTAGCATAGACTGCGCACACAGCAGTATAACACTACATATATAAAGATAAGTAGCATAGACCGCGTACACAGCAGTATAACACTACATATATAAAGATAAGTAGCATAGACCGCGTACACAGCAATATAACACGACATATATAAAGATGAGTAGCATAGACTGCGCACACAGCAGTATAACACTACATATATAAAGATAAGTAGCATAGACCGCATACACAGCATTATACCACTACATATATAAAGATAAGTAGCATAGACCGCGTACAAAAATGTAAGTATGGTTGTAGTTCAATGAGTCCATATATATTACTGGTTTGATATATTAATGTGATCAACAAAACATCACATTAAAAAATATAATCCATTATATAAATATGTATAGTCAATCATTAATATGATAAAGATAATGGTCTATGAATGCCGCTGAGCCCATACCAAACTCAGTAGCGGATCCAGAAATTTTCATAAAGGAGGGGGGCACTGACTGCCATAAGAGGGGGCCCGCTCCAGTCATGCTTCAGTGATCCCTAAATAATCAACCAAATTTATCCCACAAAAGGGGGGCGGGCACCCTGTCCCCCCCCCTAATCCGCCTCTGAAACTGGTTAAAGGAATTGAACGTACCAGTTTATTGAGCTTGTATTTCAGCATGCATGTATTATAGTAATAACGTATCCTGTATGAGAGTCTGGTTGGGGATTACAGAATAAATAACGTATCCTGTATGAGAGTCTGGATGGGGATTACAGAATAAATAACGTATCCTGTATGAGAGTCTGGATGGGGATTACAGAATAAATAACGTATCCTGTATGAGAGTCTGGATGGGGATTACAGAATAAATAACGTATCCTGTATGAGAGTCTGGATGGGGATTACAGAATAAATACCGTATCCTGTATGAGAGTCTGGATGGGGATTACAGAATAAATAACGTATCCTGTATGAGAGTCTGGATGGGGATTACAGAATAAATAACGTATCCTGTATGAGAGTCTGGATGGGGATTACAGAATAAATAACGTATCCTGTATGAGAGTCTGGATGGGGATTACAGAATAAATAACGTATCCTGTATGAGAGTCTGGATGGGGATTACAGAATAAATAACGTATCCTGTATGAGAGTCTGGATGGGGATTACAGAATAAATACCGTATCCTGTATGAGAGTCTGGATGGGGATTACAGAATAAATAACGTATCCTGTATGAGAGTCTGGATGGGGATTACAGAATAAATAACGTATCCTGTATGAGAGTCTGGATGGGGATTACAGAATAAATACCGTATCCTGTATGAGAGTCTGGATGGGGATTACAGAATAAATACCGTATCCTGTATGAGAGTCTGGATGGGGATTACAGAATAAATACCGTATCCTGTATGAGAATCTGGATGGGGATTACAGAATAAATAACGTATCCTGTATGAGAGTCTGGATGGGGATTACAGAATAAATACCGTATCCTGTATGAGGGTCTGGATGGGGATTACAGAATAAATACCGTATCCTGTATGAGGGTCTGGATGGGGATTACAGAATAAAGAATAATGGTAAAAAAGTGTAGAATAAAGGAGAAAAATAAAAAGAATAGGAAAAAAGTAGGCAAAAAAATAAAGAAGAGAGACTAATGGGGTGCTTAAATATGAAGAAAAAAGGGAATAATGGACAAAATAAATAAAGAATAGAGAAAAATTGTCTAAATAATAAAGAATAAAGAAATAGAGGACCCCCATCCGACCCCTCCTGTATTTTTGTTCAATACGGATGTGTTTGGTTGTTTGGTTTCTGTCTCAATAAGTAACGTTCACCCCACATCTCTGTTCATTTATATGAGGCATATAGATCATCTTTTGTTTGGTGGGGGTTGGGGTAACATGTTTTTTGTTCTCTCGGGACAAACAATTTTTCGAATTAAAAAACCTATTTATATTGTTTGCAATAACATACAAGCACAAGACGTTTTTATTGAAAAGAGATGTTGACCTCTCTTATTTTCAATGGAAAGAAACCATTTTCTTCACTTCCCTTCTGAAACAAATTATTTATTTTGTCAAGAAATTTATAATATATTTTATTACAAAAGGCTGCCATTTGCACCGAAAGCCACTTTTGAGAAAATTATGACTTTAAAAATGATGATTCGAATAAAAAAAGATAACCGGAACTGTTTTACAGAATTTTATAGATAATATCCATTTCTCCTTTCAAGATAAAAGATGGGTTATTTTCGTTCTTCGATCGTGATCGGCGCATTTTCGCTATCGTGATCCGTTTTTCTACAGATTTTTTTTTTTATATTTACGTGGTCCGTGATCATGAAAATTTATTTTCTGTGAATCGTGATTGACAAAAAAATCAACTCGTGATTCGTGATGAGACCCCCCCCCCCCATCAGGCCCCTCATAAAACACGGATAGTAAAGTCCCGACCTACTATTTAAACCGTATATATATACGCACCAAACAGGACAAACCTAGAATATAATGAAAGTGAGGAACAGATGAACATTAGTCAAAATGCACGTATACATTTTTTGTACTTCTCTTGTTCGTCAGGTCACACTTTGACCTTTTACAAATTTCTTAATTTACTTTTCAATTATTTATTAGTTAATATCCGTGAACATTAAACAAAGTACAAAGTATATTGATTCTTTGTGGGATTACTTTAACAAAAACAAATTAATCCTCTGTGACGTAACTTATCTTTAACAAATCACTTATCCAATAAAGTAGATCTCGAGATGAGATTTCCTGTCGGTGGCCTCTTAAATCGTGAAGTATTTTGAGGTCAAAGTTTCAGATTCTGACAGATAAGATGAAAAATAACAAGAAAACGTCCAAAATGGTGGATTTTTTTTCAAATTAAAACAATTGGAGTAAAATGGAACAGAAATACTATCTGGTGATCTTTGACCTTATTGGTAAGTGGTATTGATTGTTCCTTAGACTATCTTATGATGTGCGTTCTACTGAGTTAACAGCTGCAGTTGATTTGTACCGATTAGCATGGCCTATGTGCACACGCGCGTGTTAGTTTAATTATTAGAAATTTATTGAAATAAATTATGTGAATTTTAATTGCCCGAATTTTTACTACTAGTATTTCTGAAAGTATTTCAATTGGTTATTTAAGATTGAGATCGTTTTGAATAAAAGAAATTTAAAGGAGACATCAAACCCTAGATACATGTCCAGTCTTTCACGATTCACCGTAACGGTTACACCACATTTTTTTTTCTCTTTCAAATTTGTGTATGATCATGCTCCACTATATTTATTTATGTTAGATACAATTGTATATCGATATTACTCGCTTCTTCTACGGATATCATGAAAAAAGAGTTAATTATGTCATGAAATAGACATTCCTTTATAACATGTATATAACATTAGTTACAAATGGAAGAAATATTCTGTAATATTATTTCCACTGAAAGAGATATTACAGTATTTGTTCCGGAATAAAGGGTATAGAATATTTGGAACAGATATTATAGTCTTATTCATAACGGAGGAACAAATATATGTTGACAAATATAATAATGTATAGTTACACAAAAGAGTCTTTAATTGGTTTATAACCCCAAATAGCTGTTAATTCTGTCTTTAATACACTATATAGATTATCCATTAGTTTACTGCTACATGTAAGTAGAATTCCGCGAACATTACACATACATGACATACGGTACCTATATTAAATGAATAAATCATCTTGTTGGAAAAGGCCCACTATTATTATTTGAAAACAATGTTAACACGATTGACAATACCTGGCAACATATAATTTTATGTCGATAAAGATCAACTCTGACGTTTTTGTTTTTAAATTTTAGCTCACTTGATCCAAAGGGACATGTTTGCTTTTGCTGTCACTTTGCGTCCGTCGTCCGTAATAAAATTAACAGTACCAATTTTTCTGCACCAGATGTGCATTTCTACAATATGTGATGCTCACGGCCAAAATATTTGAAAAAATCCAAAACTTATTAAACAAGTGAGAGCTTATAAAACAAAAAGAATAAAAATTATACCCATTGAAAGCCGGGTAAACTTTTCTTTAAAAATCTTCTCTGAAACTGCTAAATGGATTGTAACCATTATATGTCTATTTCACCCGACATTCCCGAAGGATGTCTTCTATCATGTCTATTAAGTTTGTGATAATTATGTTCGTCCAGGTTGACCAACCAACACGACCGCCATGTCTAAATAGAACTTAGGGATGAAACTGCAGTTTTGGCTAATATTTCCAAGACTATAGCATTTAGAGAAAAAACTGACGGGTAAAAATGGTCAGCACAACAAGTTCTATCTAACCTAAAAATTTTAAAAATTTGGAAATCTGTTCACCTATTTTGGAGTTAATGGCCCTGAACATGCTGAAATGTTAATATCAATCTTTTTTTTTCATTTCCTTGTCAGTGTTTCTAAAACTATAGAAGCTAGGTTAAAAGAGTAAATTACAAAAAAATTATCTACATTACAAGATGTATCCACACTGAAAATTGGAGAAAACTTAAAAAACCTGCCTCAGGAATATCGAGTTATTTCCAATGTTTAGCAGTTGTTTACTGTTATCATGAAAACTATAGGAGCTATGTTAAAAGTGTAAACTGCAAAAAGGTTCAACACAACCAGATGTACCTGCCTTAAAAATTGGAGTAAAACCTGTCCACCTGTTTTGGAGTTATTGTCCCTGAAATAATCATTTTTGTTTGCAGTTTTTGGCTGTTAATGTGAAAAAATATAGGAGCTAGCTTTAAAGTGTAAATTGCAACAGTGATCAACACGACAAGATCTTTTAACTCTGAAAATTTCAGAAAGATCTGTAAACTTGTCTTGGAATAATTACCCCTAAAATATACATTTTTCAATTTCTGCAGTATTGCTGTTTTTTATAGAAAATTATAGGAACTGGCTTAAAAGATTAACTGCACAAAATTTGAAGTTATTGCCCCTGTAATACTGATATTTTTTTTGCAATTTTGCCAATTATATAAAAACAAAAGGAGCTAAGTTAAACATCTAAATTGCAAAAATGATCAACAACACAAAGAGAAGCTATAATATGTGAATATAAGAATCAATCCTTATTAGAAAACTTGCGATTTTTTTCACCAGGTGAGCGAAACAGGCACAGGTGTGCCTTTTGTATTTTTGGTTTTCTTTAGGCTTTTTGGGGGTCACACGTCATCACAACATGTTGTATATATAGATCCTTGGTTTTTAAATTTTCGGTATCGAGCGATCCTGACAAAAGTATGCAAATGTTTAGCGAATGTTTTTATCAAATGTCTGAGGATGAAATAAATGATTTTATTCCACTGTTTAAACATATTGATAGTTTAATCAATATTTGATTGGTTGAGACTATCCCACGTGTCAGTGAACAAATCATCATATTTCATTCTCATTCATTTCCCTTTGCCTCGGGAGATATGTAGATTTGCTCACCCTCGAAAAATCATATTTCCCTCGGGCAGAGTCCTCGTGAAATATGAATATTCTTGGGTGAACAAATCTTCAGATCTCCCTCCGGCACGGGAAATAAATGTATAATGTTTTATCTCGTGTTTTTACTACGATTGTCTCCGATGGTGACATTAGCCGATAATCTATATCATTGGAAGTTTCTAGGCTATGCTTTAAAAAATCGATTGAGTAATTTGAACTTATATGTTTAGTTTTGTCATTCATGTTTCTGTTGTTTTTATGATCGTCTTCATATTTAGCCTAGAGTAATGCACAAATTTGAATGAAAAAGAACATAAATATAAAAAGAGCCCACGTTAAAATGTCTTCGCCAATGTATTTGTATTTGTATTTTTTCCAGTTTGCTTGCTTTGTCAAGTCCGATGTTTAGCACCGCCAGTGGGCTTGCGTGCATACGCCATATCCCCAAATGTATTCCGTGTGAAATGGATAGACAAATACAGAAATTCGAAACGGAGCACACAATTTACCCTTAGGTATCGAAACATTCCTGGAGAAGATCAATATAAATATTTAAATACGACGAAAGTTGAGGTCAAAAGGTTGAATGTGATAACATCCAATGGATCATACGAGTTTTCCGTGAAAGCTGTCCGAGGAAGAAAGGAAAGCAAGTGGTCAGATCCTGTCAAGAATACGTTTGGTAAGTTAGATAGGGTTTTCATGTCGCTAAAACCAAAAACCAACAAACCTGAAGTGTACTGCTATTGTCTCAGTCAAGACTTCGCTTGGTAAGTTAAGTAGGGTTTTCTTGTCGCTAAAACCAAAAAAGACAACACTGAAGTGTACTGCTATCGTCTCGGTCAAGAATACACTTGATAAGTTAAATAGGGTTTTCTTGTCGCTAAAACCAAAAACCAACAAACCTGAAGTGTACTGCTATTGTCTCAGTTAAGAATTCGCTTGGTAGGTTAAGTAGGGTTTTCTTGTCGCTAAAACCAAAACGGACAATACTGAAGTGTACTGCTATCGTCTCGGTCAAGACTTCGCTTGGTAAGTTAAGTAGGGTTTTCTTGTAGCTAAAACCAAAACAGACAATACTGAAGTCTATTGCTATCGTCTCGGTCAAGAATTCGCTTGGTAAGTTACATGTAAGTAGGGTTTTCTTGTCGCTAAAACCAAAACAGACAATACTGAAGTGTACTGCTATCGTCTCGGTCAAGAAAGTTTATCTTTTTTATTTATTTATTTTTATCTTAATAGTTTCACATTATAAAATTTCATTTAAAATGTCAACCCTACTACTAGAGATTGGAACGGGAAGTATATGCATTCTATCTGCTTAATGATATTGCCTTTTCGTTTTAGAACATGTAGGGTTTTAACATGCTTTAATGAAATAATATAATTTTTCACGGATGGATTTATTTTATATCTTTGCAGATTCTGAAGTAGCGGTTGGACCTCCAAGAGGATTGAAAATTAAAGACAGCACACCAACATCAATCAAAATAAAATGGAGACGTCCAAAAACGAAACGAAATTTAATTTCAGGCTATCGAGTCACGTGGAAAATGTTGGGTAATAAAATTTCTAATGTGAAGCAGACGACACTAAGATCTCTTTTAATCAGTAAACTGAAACCATCGTCGACTTATATAATCAAAGTACAAGCTATGGACAAATCAGAAGAATTATCAGAACCTACGAAGATTTCTTTTAGGACAAAACGAAAAGTAGTTATACGTGCACCAACTAATTTTACAGTTGAAGTTTACGGTTCCACGGTAAGTAGGATTAGGGAAAAAAAGGGGGCGGCCGCAAAAATGTTAATCCCGCCATGCACATTCTGGATGTGCATGTACATAGTCGGGAGCCTCTGATTCAGTAGTCATCGTTTTTGCTGTATATCAGATTTGTTTTTCTTTTATTAGTTTTGTACATAAATCAGGCCTTTAGTTTTATCGTTGAAACGGATTCATTCGTAAATATAAATCAACATGCAGACATCTTGTACGTTCATGTATTTCACATCCAATCTTTTATGGTAATATTCTAAACAAAGCACAAACTGTCGTCATTCACCACAAAAGCTAACCAAACCTCTAAACAGACTTATTCAGAATGGATATAGTTACGATACTGTTGTCAGTTCATTAAAGATGGCATATTTTGGTATTAATATTGATTCACTCATAGGGTCTTTGCATCGGAAATAATTACATTTATTCTGTTATCTATTCTGACATGGACTCGATCGGACTTCTTTTAGCTGAGTTTTACTGTGCGTATTGCTGTGTGTTTGTTTATTCTACATTGGCTAGAGGTATAGGGGGAGGGCTGAGATCTCACAAAACATGTTTATCCCCGCCGCATTTTTGCGCCTGTCCCAAGTCAGGAGCCGCTGGCCTTTGTAAGTCTTGTATGTTTTTTTTTATTTTAGTTCATTTATATGTTTCGAAGTTTAGTGTGACGTCCATTTCACTGAACTAGTACACATTTTTGTTAAGGGGCCAGCTGAAGCCCTCCTCCGGGTGCGGGATTTTCTCGCTGTGTTGAAGACCCAGTGGTGGCCTTGGGCTGTTTTCTGCTCTTTGTTCGGGTTGTTGTCTCTTTGAAACATTCCCCATTTCCATTCTCAATTTTATATTTGTGTTTTTTCGGGGCCTTTTATAGCATGCTATACGGTTTAGGGTTTTGCTCATTGTTGACTGAAGGCTATACGGTAGGCTCAGTAGCGGGGGACATAGAAATACCGGGCGTCCTTCCGTCAGGTCTTGTAAGCGCTGTCACGCGTACAATTCTTTCCAGCTTTTTAAGAAACTTATATCATAGGTTTATATCAGCAATGTCTTGGACGAGTTCGAAAATCAGTGCCGATAAGTTATTTTTAAAAGAGTCATGTCCCTTGAAAACATTAATTATATGGAAAATTGCATCGTTAGTGCTCTCATGTGTTCAATTTTTGTCAGATTTTGATTTTATAAAACTTATTTCATAGGTTTATATCAGCAATATCTTGGACGAGTTCGAAAATCAGTGCCGATCAATTATTTTTGAAAGAGTTATGCCCCTTAGAAACATTTACTATATGGAAATTGCATTGTTAGCACTCTCGTGTGTTCAATTCTTGTCAGAATTTTATGAAACTTGTATCATTCGAAAATAAGTTCTGATCAAATTATAACATTTTTAACGTGTTATGGCCCTTGGAAATGTTAATTATAATGGAAATCACATTGCATTTGCTCTGAAGCCTTCATTTCTCTAAGATATTAATAAAAAGTTTTAAAGAAAAAAAAAAAGTGTTTTTCTTTTAGTTATTATCCTTGTACCTTATATAGATAAAATATGTGCAACGCAGGGGGAGATTGCCAAAAAAATTGATCACCAGATCTAACGAAATGGATCTTAATTTTAATTTAATACCAAACAGAAAACAATAAACTTGTGGAAAAGATGGTACATGTAAACCACAAACATGAGGTGCAAAAATTTGTACACCATATCCGGATTTCGACAATTAATGTCTCTTCAGTGATGTTAGGGATCGAAACGGTATTTGGAAGGCCATATAATTTACCTCAAATTAGGATACACTCTTGAAATTAATTTTAAAGAGTCGAAATAGGATGAACGGATCATATAAACCCGAAGGAAAATAAAATACAAGCCCAAACGAAAAAAATATATAAAAGTTTAAATTGAAAACAACGTTCAAACCTATGATTGCGTTGGATAAAAACCGCAATTTTTATACGTGTGCATGTAAAACAAATTTCTTTGTAGAGGGGTATAAATACAGCACAAACAACAATTTCCAAAAGACCAAAAAAAGTGAAAAAGTCTATTTTAACAAAACGCATTTGACTAACAGGTCGAACAACTGATGTCCTTAAACCCTGCTGACTGCCATTGACGATTGCCAAATAAATTGATCACCAGATCTAACGAAATGGATCTTAATATTAATTTAATACCAAACAGAAAACAATAAACTTTATACCACAAACATGAGGTGCAAAAATGTGTACACCATATCCGGATTTCGACAATTAATCTTTTATGTCTCTTCAGTGAAGTTAGGGATCGAAACGGTATTTGGAAGGCCATATAATTTACCTCAATATAGGATAAATATATATATATATCGACGTCTTACTCATCAACATATCAACACAGTCACGTCTCAGTCCTTACAGCTGAAAGGACGTGCTGGATCAGCTCCTGGCCACGTTATCCGTAAGCTTCAACATGTTACGCTGCTCAGATTGTTCAAAGACAAACTAGTTTATGAGGCTCCCGTTCAGTAAACCCGCGTCAGCGACACTCTGAAACCCATTGTGGATGGGTGAGTGTCACATGCTGCCCAGACGTCCGAGGTGTATTGTAGGTTTAGTGCAATTTTGCAGTCATCTACTGCGGAGTCGATGATTCATCTACCAGCAACACATCGTCGTGGTTAACGGGCTGCCCAGCTGATTAACCTGGCCCTGAAAGCAGCCGTTTTGAAGTCCATACTGCAAAGAAACATCAAAATAGTAAAAAACCAAAATCAAAACAACTCACGTAAACCAAGATGGCCGCCTACCAAAATGGAGCCTTCCACCTGTTCCTAACCAACTGCAACAGAAAATATTTAATGCTCAACAATCGCCTCCGGGCACGAGCCGACCGTGCAAGGGCTATATAGCCAGTCAAGGTCGTTAATAACCCCCATCATCATCATCATCATCATTAACATATTTTCGTGCATTCGATTGCGTTAATACTTTAATATATAAATATATAACACTCGGGTAATTTAAGCAGAAGTTTATCTTGTCGACACTTTTATTCCACACGGGTTATTTAAGCATCGCAGGAGAAGTTTACCTTGTCGACACTTTTATTCCACTCGAGTAATTTAGGCAGGAGAAATTTATCTTGTTGACACTTTTATTCCACTCGGGTAAAGCATAGCAGGAGAAGTTTATCTTGTCGACACTTTTATTCGCACCAAAGAAATTTTAGTGGATGTGCAATTTTTATACATTTCATGGATGAAATACTCTCGAGGGTACCACGTGAAATAAAAAGTAGTCTCAGTTTCTCCGTCTGAGGGAATCCGCCCCTGGTTGCAAGGCAAAAATAGCTACCCCATTTTCCAGTGGCAGTCGTAATTCCCATCCCGGCTTCATCCTGGTCAACTCATTCTGACAGAACCTATACCTGCTGTATATCTTTTTATAATTAATTTGTTCTCGTCTGAATATTCATGCATTAATTGCCAATAGGCATTTAACAAATTACAATCAATCAGTCTTGGAGTAATTTGGTTCATTTACATAGTAAATATTTTATTGATTTAATTGTTAGGGATTTTAGTAACATTTGCAAATTGTGTTGTCCCTAATGAAATAAATACTGGTATATGTATACTTGCGAGAAATGACTCTGGTATTAACGTGATTTTTAGATTTTTTCTCGAAAAACACTTGAAAACCAGCCTCCAAATGGATTCGCCGCCATTATTCAAACTAAGTGTATACTATACTTAATTTTATTTCAGTTTAATTGACACGGTCCTGAATTTGCATGCACTATTTGTAATAGGACGTTGCGGCAAACAAAAATCAACCAGTCAGAGACTCATTGGCAAAAATATGTTTTCAATTGCTAATGGGAAACAATAGAAATACCATTGTGAGAAATACATTGTAATATCAGTAACTTATTCAAGCAAAAAAAATTATTTTGTATAGATATAAAGCGCTTCTACGATAGCTGTGTAATTAAAAAAGAATGACTTAGGCCTATCTGTAATTCAGGACGTAGTGAACAATAATGACTGCGAATGAGAATTTTAAACTTATTAAGGCATTAAAATTTATCAAACCAAATCATAGTACTCATTAACCAGCTGGACACATTTTGGAATTAGTAGTAAAACATATGACCTCGAGGACAACTATTTCTGTTTGTTTTCTGATATTTTGTTTTTATCTATTTTGTTAGTTCCTATTGTACCGCACTTTCGGGTCAGTGAGAGCAATTGTTATCACTTGGTGTCCGTCGTCTGTCATTCGTTGTCCGTTAACGTTTACAAAAATCTCTGGAACTACTAGGCCAAACAGAGCCAAACCTGAACACGACCATCAATGGTGTATCTAGTTTTAGAAAATGTGTCTGGTGAGCAGGTCTGACAACCAACATATCCAACCAATCTGAAAACAGAACATAGTGGTAATATGCAAGTTTTGTCTATTATCTTGTTAACTCCGAGAAAATCTGACATGGGCCGAAATGTTTAGAAGATATATCTCATCACGAAAAACGTTAAAAATGGAAACAAAAGCAAAGTAATAATATGTCTTGGGACTCTGAGACTTTGAAATTTGCAAGATAAATAATTATTCATTCATAAAAAATAATACAGAAATTACATTTGACTTATATTTTATTATAGAAACAAACTATTTGTTTAATTTTTCTTCTGAAAGTCAAACAAATAATTCTGCTTTGATCATGTTTAGAATCAAACACGTTTATTTAACCACACCTCCCACCCACACACATTCAGAGAAAAAACGATGAATTGTCGGCGCCTTCGTCACCCGGCCCGAGAACACTATTATTAGCTGATTATGTCGTAGTGCATTTTTTAGGACAGTACATCCAAAATAAAGAGACACATGTCTCTAATTCAAATTACTTGACAAAAAATTCACCTGCAATCGGTCTCAAAAAGATTTTTTACAATGTAGTGCACTACTATTGGGACAAATTTTATCAAAATTATAGAAAAGTCTACTAGATCCAAATCAAAATACGGAGAATTCCATGCTGTGGGGTCTATAGTTCAGTTTAACAGCTTCAGGCATACTTATTTTTGACCTTTTTTAACTGGACCAAAATCACTACTTTCATGACCTAAGGGGGCTACCATTTGATTTTTATGGGGGGGGGGGGGGGGGGGGGGGGGCTAGGATGAAAAATTTTGTCCTGCATTTTTTTTTAGTTGTAATCTCTGTCCTGCTTTTTTATTTTTCCCTCTATTCGGTCCTGCCTTTTTTTTAAAAGTTTATCCTGACTTTTTTTACCCAAATTGTAACCCTGACTTTTTTTTTGCAAGTGTCTCATCCTGCCTTTTGTTTTACTCAAAACTCCTGTCCTGCCTATTTTTTTCATATTTCATCCTAGCCCCCCCCCCCCCCCCCCCCCCCCCATAAAAATCAAATGGTAGCTACCTAAAAATTCATGTATACCCAATTTTTTTGAACATGTAATTTCAACCACCAGTGACCTACTTACTAGTAAATGAATAAAATATAAAAATATAAATGTGGATGGTGTATGAAAAAAGTTATACACTGTCCATAATCAAAGGACGATAATATACTCTTTCCTCGGACCAGCTAGTCGTTGCAAGCTCGTTTGTTTCTCTCCCCTATTCTTGAGGTGCCCTTTAAGTCTTTTGGTTTGTCCATACATGACATTGTTAACTTAACATGCTTGCTTAATGATCAGTGACAAATATTTCATGAATAGTCAGGTAAAACGGTGTCAATCAAGTAAACTGACATAACAGCAAGAATAGTGTGACATTTAGACACTGAAGAACTGTAGCGAATCTAGATCATACCCAACTACAGAGATATATAATACATTTATATGTCTCTGCCAACTATGAGGGTCGTTACGTAATGGGGGTACCTTCAAGACGAATAACGTTAAAAAATCTTGCCAAATGACGTTAACGGTAATTTTTGGAGCATGACGATAAAATGTGCACTTTCTTTTAGACGGTAAAAAATAGACTGATTTTGACGAATCATCTTACATTTTTTCCAAAAATAAGGCATATCCAGAAATCAACGCCACTTTGCTTATTTGAATATTATACTAAAGAAATAGGATACGGGTCACGGAAATTTTATTGAAATGATAGGGAATTTTGAAAAAAATGTCTGTTTTAACTTTAATTTAAGTGATAGACAGGTTGCGGGGACAGAAAATAAATATAACAAAACTGTCAACAATATACACCATTTAAACGAAACATAATGACTGTCGTTGCAAAAATAAAGGTTCCTGAGCTATTTTAAAAATCGAAGCGAGAGGCTTTTAACATTGCAGTATAAAGTACAAGCTAAAATGGCTGAAACGTCAAATTTTCAAACTTTGTGTTGAAAATTTGCTAACAAGGTCATTACAAAAACAGGTTGTGGGGATGAAACTTGAAACTTGAATGTCCAAAGAATAAGCAAGTCCAAACCTTGTATGTGTAGGAGTTGAACTCTAGGTTCCCACGTAAAGTTAAAATGCTCCTATTTCAAGAAGAATAAACTCACGAAAACACAAAAAGTTCACTAAATTCGCGTTCATTGTTTTGATTTTGACCGCCTCACAACTTTGTGGAAATATCAGAGTGATTATAAACAAGGACTCTGTGACATGCAACTTATAATATCCGTGTTTTAAAGATTTTAATGATACCAAGCCAGTTCAGTTCAAACTATTATCACATGGTACAATTCTCATTTACATATTATGAATATTAATTAACAAAAGTACTACTAATTTCTGGCTATGCCATCACATAACGATAATTATTTGAGACCACTGACGAATCACGATATAAAGGATATTTTGACAAATCACGGTAAAATTTTAACCAATTTGATGCTAACGGTAACCGAAAATGACTGTTTGATGCCTGACGGTAAAGGACATTACTACCTTCAACTATATCAGTCCTATTCAGGACTGATAACTCTGTCGATAAATATTGGCGGTTAGTACATATTAACATATTTTTATAGTACAAACTCCAGCTGAAAATTTTCAAATCTCCAGTTGTGACTTGACAACTCTGTCACATGTATGTTGTACACAAGTTAAAATTTCAATATTGTTCTTTTTGAATGCCTGTATTTTGTTTAAAACATTGAATTAAAAAAGTAAATGACAAAAGTCATATGCAATGAAGTCTCGTTTAATTTTCTATGAAATAAAAAAATCTATTAAATATAAATTAAAATTAAGAGTATTTTTTTAAAACAATTATCGTGAAACATTAATAAGGTTATTTTTTTAAACAAATATTACTTTATCAAAGAATTTTTCATAATATTCATATTTTCGTGTTGTTCAGTCTTTAGTTTTCTAAGTTGTGTTTTGTGTACTATTGTTTGTCTGTTTGTCTGTTGGTCTGTTTCTTTTTTAGCCATGGCGTTATCAGTTTATTTTTGACTTACATGACCTATGAGTTTAAAAGTCCCTTTTGTATCTATCGCGTCTCTTCTTGAAGTTCTTTATGATCATGATGATATATATTTCTTCGGTAGTGTACATTGGTAAAGAGAATTTTTTTTTAGCCAATTATTGAGAAACATTAATATTTGGTTATTTTTTTAAGCAAAAATTACTTTATCGAAGAATTTTTCATAATATTCATATTTTCTTAAAGTTCTTTTTATTATATATATTCCTTAAGTAGTGTACAGGGAAAGAGAATTATATATTTGTACATTTTAGAAAACTTGTCAAGTTGTGTTTATCACTAAAACTAAACACTGGAAATACATGTTAAACAAAAAATTTGTATATACAGGATGTTAATGCTTTTGGTTTGACACGATTTCTTAACATGAGAAAATTGAACTTTATTGAAGCACCTATGCATTTTATATGGGACAAAATGACACAAAATGGCGGCTCGCTACGTCACCAAAGTCACGTGATGTCTTACTTAGTTGGATGTGGAATGGATTAACTATCAGAACTATATATTTCATTTATTATTTTGACTTCATGGGGCAACACATTGGCAGACTAATCAGACAGTTTATTGTGGCCACTTAACAGAAAGAAGATGGATTTTGCTTCTGATATTACTATAACTCATATGTTATCTCATGTGGCTTTTGTTTTTTTAAAAGACATTTTTTGACAAATTTTCGCATTTTGGCATTTAATGAATCCTGTATACTTTGGATTGAATTTTTTTGTTGTTACCAATTCTGGTGGATTGAAGAGAAATGTATTTTCATTGATATTTGATTTAATGATTTTGTCAAAGTCTGCAACCAGCCTATAATAAAAATTTCCACTTTGTTGAACATTTGAATTCTTGTTTCACATTTACCAACATAAGATGGTATCCCACCAAAAAATAACGACTCCACCGTGAGAATAAATCATTGGTTATAATGAAAGAGACAGAGACATATGATACAATAATACCAAATAAAAATATTGCTATCAGATTGCCAGTTGGCAATTCAGGCTTGTACCTTATAAATTTATTTATGAATACAATTTATTTCTGTTGCTAAAAGACAATTACATTGTTACTATTAGAGATAGCGTATACATGAATGATTAAGGAATTTCTTAGAACAGAATGATATGGTTTGGGAATTTGATTTACCTACATGTACATCTAGATCTCCTTTTAATCATATTTATAAGTGACCTGTCCTACATAAATTAGTCTGCAGAGAAAGATTCCTGCATCAGCTGTGTTTTTCTAAAGAGATGTAGTAATTAATATTTACATGACAGTTTTTTAATATTTTAATTAATACTCAGTTAAAAGTTACAAAGATAGGAATAAGCTCTTTTAATACAAATTATTTTATACAGAAATGTGCAGTATTTTAGGTTACAGGAACATTCTGTACGAAGCCAAGTCCAAGAATTTCATAAAAGAAAGATATACTAACATACATGTACATTGACCACATTTACATATATTTCCACATTTTACAGAAACTTGTTGTGAAATGGGGCTTACCAAGAGGAGATGATTTCAAAAAGATAACAGGGTACCAGATCCAGTATAGACAGAAAGGGGTACAGAAAGGAACACTCTGTACAGTGGTCACTACCAAAAAGAAACAAAAATATATTATAACAGGTAATTAACACTCACCTTTTCTGGGGGCATGACCCATGTTTTTTACGTGACAAACAATTTGTTTTTTTACTTTATAAAAGACCCCACTTTTGTCTCTCCTTGACGGAGTCAAAAAGCGAGACATAGGTATGCTGTTTCCAGCATCAGCGTCGTCGTCAACAATGTACTAGTTTGTGATTAGATCTAGTTTATGGTGAACCACTAGTGGTAAGTCAATGATATTTGGTATGTAGTTGTATTAGCATTGGCACATCTCATTACCACAGAGATTATTTGGCCCCACCCCCTCAGTCATGGTCTATTGACTTTGAAACTTTTACATAGTTTAAAAGTTACAAGTTAATGTTTGTGTTTGTTTAAAGGGAACGACTTATGAGATTTCAGTGGTATTTGTGTACAGTTGTATTAGTATTGGCACATCTCATTTCCATGTAGATTGTTTAGCCCTGTACCTTCAGTCATGGTTCATTGACTTTGAATATTTGCATAACTTACATATTAACAAAGTATTGCTATTTTAATTTCAATATTTGCATTATCAAAATAACAAATAGGCAAGACATATCTCTGTGTTAACAGTTTATTTTCAATAATCATTGTTAAGGTATATGGCATTTGGGAATAAGAAATATTTTGTGAAACTCAATTTTATTATGTCATATTTATTTTCCCCTAATTTCCCCTAGACTTATCATAGCAGGTACACGAGGTAATTAGGCACTGACCACTCATCTATTGTTAGGGGCATGGATCTCTTTCTCAGGACAAAAATATATTTTTCACCTTTTCCAAAATCTTTCTCTATGAACCTTTCATTTTCTTTAAGATCTGTATAAAGGTCAACAATACAAAGTAAGGATAGCTGCCAAATCTGGACATCTGACCGGAAAATCTACCAACTGGCTAGTAGCCACACTGTCTGGAGGAAACAAGACAAAGATTCAGAAAGGTAAATTATAGTCATACTTTGTAAGTTTGTGGGTTACAAACCAGATGTAGCTTTGTAACACAATGTGGGCTAGAACATTATATAAATACATTTATAAAGACAACAGCCCTCAAAGTAGCTTCTGAAATGAAGTTGCCAATTGGCCACCAGACATGAAAATTTAGTGGCCAACTCAAAATTTCAGTGGCCAGGAAATAATTTCAGGTTGCCTATATTTGAGATGTGTTATGAATGCCAATCAGACAACTATCCACCAAAGTTAAAATGTTTTTTTTGTTCAATCAAATACTGAAAGTGAAATAGTAAAATAATAATTCGCTTTTAGCAGCCAGTTTGGTTCAATTTTGTCAAAATAAACTAAAAAGAAACCTCGCTGATGAATTATTCACTTGCAACATGTGCAAGTGAATAATTTGACCTTATTGAATCTGTATTCATGTGACCTTCAATTTAACCCCTGAGCTAGAGATGCGTTAAGCATAAACTAAGCATGTTCAGCTATTAAAAGGAAAAGAATGTCAACATTGAAATTGAAACAAGGGTAAACCATTTGGTTGACTGATTCAATCCAAAACAACTCATTCTTATACAGGTAAAAACAATGATTAACATATTTTTTTAACCCATAATATAAATTCAAACAGACATAGAAAAATCCAATTGCACATGTTCGTTTCTATTTGATCCCTGCGAAATGTGTTGCAGGGGACATGGAAATACTGGGTGTCCGTCTGTCCATCCGGTCTTGTTAGTGCTCTCAGGTGTACAGTTCCTGTCTAATTTTTATGAAACTTATATCATAGGTGTATATCAGCAATGTCTTGGACGAGTTTGAAAATCAGTGCCGATCAATTATTTAAAAAAAATTTATGCCCCTTGGAAACATTAATTATATGGAAAATTGCATCGTTAGCGCTCTCATGTGTGCAATTCTTGCCAGAATTTTATGAAACTCATATCATAGGTTTATATTAGCAATGTCTTTGATGAATTTCGAAAATCAGTGTCGATCAAGTATTTTAAAAAGAGTTATACCCCTTGGAAATCTCAGTTAATTTTATTATTACAATTGCCTTATGAGAGCTCTTTTGTGTACAATTCTTGCCAGATTTTCATGAAATTAATATTATAGGTTTATATCATCAATGTTTTTGATGAGTTTGAAAATCAGTGCTGATCAATTATTTTTAAAAGAGTTATGCTCCTTGGAAATATTGATTATATGGAAAATTGCATTGTTAGCACTCTCATGTGTACAATTCTTGCCAGATTTTTATGAATTTTATTTTATAGGTTTTTATCATCAATGTCTCAGACAAATTTGAAAATTGATGCCGATCAATTAATTTTAAAAGAGTTATGTCCCTTGGAAATATTGATTATATGGAAAATTGCATTGTTAGCACTCTCATGTGTACAATTCTTGCCAGAATTTTATGAAACTTATATTATACTTTATATCAGCAATGTCTTTGACACTTTCGAAAATAAGTGATGATCAAATATTTTTAACGAGTTATGCTCCTTGGAAAAATTAATTGTAACGTAAATTGCATTGCATGTGCTCTGAAGACTTTATAAATTATATCTCTAAGATATTTATCAATTGTTTTAAAGAAAAAAAAAAGTTCTTTTTTTAGTAATTGCCTTTGGATAGATAAAATATGTGCAAAGCGGGGGACATTGGAACTATGTTCTTTTATTATATCTATATTTATGTATATATCAGGTTATATGACCATCGGCAGTCTTCGAAGGTCACCTCAATGGTTAATTAGATGGCGTCTAGACTAAAATACACACAAATTACTGATACATATTATTGAGTCCATGCATCATAAATTGTTTATTTTATACTTTTTATAATATGGATATACGTTTTAGTATGTTATAAATCAAATATATGAGAAATTGAGTTGAATCCGTGAACATGAATTTGACAGCTAATGCCCCTTTAAATTTGAATTTACGTAATAAATTATTATTAAGTCTCCCAAACGAAGTTTGGGAAGACTTATTGTTTTTGCTCAGTTCTTATTATTCTTCTTCTTCTTCTTCTTCCGCCGCTTTTAAATTTGAACTTCTTCTTCTTCTTCTTCTTCCGCCGCTTTTAAATTTGAACTTGTCCGCACCCGTTCTCCAAAACCGCTTGTCAGATTAACTTGGGGTTTCACAATATTTTAGACTAACATGTCTAGTGGTGCAATCAGGGTTTTGTTTGTGCAATGGGGTTTATAAAGGGGTACTTTGAGGGGCAAAAAGAAAAGAGGGTTTTACTATAGAACCCTATGGGATTTTATTTTTAAAAATTTTCAAATGATTATAAATTGAAAACCGTTTGTGATAGACACAATCTTTTTAATTGAAAATGTTCTAAATGATAAAGCCCATTAAATGAAATACAGGGTTAGTCCCCAGGGGTCACCCCACCCCCTGCTATTTAAGAAAGTTCTAATACCTTGTAAGTGGTCAAGATCCCCACCCCTAAACCATATATATTTTGGTTTGTCATGCTAAGATGGTTTGAATGATATACAGGGTTAGTCCCCAGTGGTCATCCCGACCCCCTGCCATTTGAGAAAGTTCTAATATCTTGTAAATGGTCGAGATCCCCACCCCTAAACCATATATATTCTGGTTTGACATGATAAAGCACATCAAATGAAATACAGGGTTAGTCCCCAGGGGTCAACCCCACCCCATGCCATTTAAGAAAGTTCTAATATCTTGTAAGTGGTCAAGATCCCCACCCCTAAACCATATATATTTTGGTTTGTCATGCTAAGATGGTTTGAATGATATACAGGGTTAGTCCCCAGGGGTCATCCTGACCCCCTGCCATTTGAGAAAGTTCTAATATCTTGTAAATGGTCGAGATCCCCACCCCTAAACCATATATATTCTGGTTTGACATGATAAAGCACATCAAATGAAATACAGGGTTAGTCCCCAGGGGTCACCCCCACCCCATGCCATTTAAGAAAGTTCTAATATCTTGTAAGTGGTCAAGATCCCCACCCCTAAACCATATATATTTTGGTTTGTCATGCTAAGATGGTTTGAATGATATACAGGGTTAGTCCCCAGGGGTCATCCCGACCCCCTGTCATTTGAGAAAGTTCTAATATCTTGTAAATGGTCGAGATCCCCACCCCCTAAACCATATATATTCTGGTTTGTCATGATAAAGCACATCAAATGAAATACAGGGTTAGTCCCCAGGGTTCATCCCCACCCCATGCCATTTAAAAAAGTTCTAATATCTTGTAAGTGGTCAAGATCCCCACCCCTAAACCATATATATTCTGGTTTGTCATGCTAAGATGGTTTGAATGATATACAGGGTTAGTCCCCAGGGGTCATCCCGACCCCCTGCCATTTGAGAAAGTTCTAATATCTTGTAAATGGTCGAGATCCCCACCCCTAAACCATATATATTCTGGTTTGTCATGCCAAGATGATTTGAACAGGGTTAGTCCCCAGGCATCACTAATGCATATCACTTTACTGGACCAAACCAATTTTCACTGGACTTTGCCCAATGTCAGGCGACCCTGGGAATTACGAATTATGGGAGCTTCGTTTGGGAGACTTCGTAACAGCATCCTGTTACAATCATTTCTTGTTTTGTTTCAAATTCGACTTTGTTATAGCATGACTCCTGTTTTGACTGAAGCAGGATGTGGGGTGAGTCTTTTGTAGACCAAACATGTGTCTGGCATATACTGTTCTAATCCTGGTATCTATGATGAGTTTATTCATACATGTCATAGTGAATAAAAAACCTCCTTTTTGGATTCACCTACATTAGAAACATAAGATGCAGCTGCTGATTCTGAAGTTTTTAAATTGGTAGCGGGAGTCCAAAGGGTCTGATGGGGAAAAGGGAGGAATTAAAGGCCTAAATTTTCATCAAATGAATAATAAAATGAAATATAAAAAAATGGGACAGATATTTCCAACCCCTAACCCCAATTCTGGATCTCACAACTGATTGATTTCAGGCTAAATGATTTAAATATTTGAATATCATGTTATTCTATATTGTGTTGTAAGTTTATACTAATTAGAACAGTATTTGTTTCCCTTTTTTAGATGATAATGAAGATTTCATCCAATCTACCACAGAATCAGTACAGGATCAATTGCAAGATAAAGAAGATACTCTTGGTAAGTAGTTTATATAGGTTGGTTCAATTTACTTTCTATTAATAAAGGGTTAGTTTAAAAACTTATAATTATCCAATAGTATTTATCAGATATGTTGACATATATAGGTATCAGGATATATACCATAATTTTCTTGAACCAGAGTTTTGTATCTTATTTTTCTAACATCTTTATTTCATTGGAACCTAAAACACACACATCAACAATAAATGTACTATTCAGGTCAGGTCCAGTATGAATATATATTACATTTGCATATTTGTCTCTCCTCGATTGGTAAAAAAATCAAGACTTAGGGTGTGGTTTCCAGCATCAACGTTGGCATCAACATTGTATTAGTTTGTGATTAGGTCAGTATATTGGGAACCTGTGGTAGGTCAATGATATTTGGTATGTAGTTTACAGTATTAGTATTGGCATATCTCGTTTCCTTGGAGATTATTTGGCCCAACTCCCTCATTCATCATTGTCATGGTCTATTAGATTTGAATGATTTGCTGTTTTTTATGTATTGGTTTGTAATTAGGTCAGTTTATGGGGAACCGCTAGTGGTAGGTCAATGATAATTTGTTTTGGCACATTTTATTTCCATTGAGATTTTTTGGCCCTGCCCTCTCAGTCATGGTTTATTGACTGTGAATGTTTTGCATAGTTTACATGTTCAAGTATTGCCATTTTAATCATATGTGCTTTGTACTACATGTATCAAAATTGCATTAAGGCGAGACTTGTCTCTGTGTGAACAGTTCTTTAAACAATCTAATGAAACTATTTAATGTTTTTTTCTTACAGACATAATCAGTGTGGAAGTGAATAAAACAGATAATACATACTATGATCACAATGTTACAATGACTTGTATAGTCAAATACCATGGTAAAGGTGAAAGGTCAATACTATGGACAAAAGGTGATGACCTCAAGGTCGAAAGGATAGGAGCATGGTTTGTAGGTTTCTTTATGATGATGAAAAAAATGTTGTTCCTTTCTTTAAATCTTATATTTGATGATCCTTCTCTTTATTTGTAAAATCTGTTATTATAAGTGCATGCATGCCAGTGTAAGTAATAAGTATACAACGAAGTAATTACTATTGTTATTAAAACAAATAAATAGAAAGGATCTGCTGAATATGTAATGAAGACTGTATGACTACTAATAATTGTGGATCTGAGCCATATATATATTTTTAATGTTCTTAACTTAGTTTAAGCTGTTTGTTTTCATTTTTGAATTGTTTCAATTTTTTATATTTAGTCACATGTTATTTCATAATACTTTAATTTTAGTTCCAAGATAGTCCATTAATCACTATATGTCTGATTTCATTTTACACACACAAGTCATGTGATAACATAAGAAATCTATGCACTGTTGGGACCAAAACATTAAGATGTGGGGAGTGATTTAGAACATCGTGGTCAACTTTTCAAGTGCAAATCTATTTAAATCATTTCATTTGCTGAATTTGCCTGTGTAAAAATCTAGGCATGTGTCACATGATACTACTTTTTAGCTCACCTGGCCCAAAGGGCCATTTGAGCTTTTCTCATCACTTGGCGTCCTTCATCCGTCGTCCGTCGTTGTTAACTGTTACAAAAATCTTCTCCTTTGAAACTACTGAGCCAAATTTAACCAAACTTAACCACAATCATCATTGGGGTAACTTGTTTAAAAAAATGTGCCTGATGACCCACCTGCCAATCAAGATGGCCGACATGGTTAAAAATAGAACATGGGGGTAAAATGCAAGTTTTGTCTATTATTTTGAAAACCTTGATAAATAGAGAAAATATGACAAGGTCAAAATTGTTCAGAAAGTTGAGCTCTACCAATAGTCCATATATGTCAAAACTGTCAGACGACTTCTTGTAGGAGTTATTGCCCTTAAATGACAAATTTTACCATTTTTTAAAAATGTTTGCCTACTATCTTGAAAACTATAATAGATAAAGAGAAACTTTAAATCGAAAAACGAATTCTGTTCTCGTCTTCAATTTTGGAGAGTGTCTTTTGTTGAATATGCACATAGACCAAGGTGAGCAAGAGCCTCTAGTTCAATTTCCACATTAAACAGCAGCTATTTTCTGGAACTCACCTATTACCATAGGATAACATGAGTTTTGCTCATCTTTGAAGGTCACACATTACCCTTGTTCTTTGTTCTATGATGAATTATAGTTTCCTCTGACTGGCATCTCCTTATTTTTATACCTTAACACTGCAAATTAAATAAGGTATGACATTACACAAATTTATTATCCTCAAAAATATATGGAATATCTTCTTAACTTTCTAAGCTGCTAACTAGTGTAAAGGAAAAGAAAGAATTGTATTCCTAATTTTTAGTTGGAAGATTTTTACAGGCAAGATCCATTATTTTTATGTAATGATAAATCTGGAAATACATAAGATGAATTCTAGGATATTAATTGTGATTACAGTGTAATATTATCTATTTCAGATAGATATATCTGGACGACACTCATTTGAAGAATCTGAGATTGAAGAAGATGATATAACAACATTGGTAAAAAAACTGCGTCTTTGGAAGTTGAAGACATCAGATAGCGGGCTGTATAAGTGTCATGTACTGAATACAGATTCATCAGCTTCATTAAATTTTACAGTTACAGGTAATATTTTAACTCCAATCTTTGAGATGTTCTCTATTGACACTCTCCTTTGTCTTTTTCTTAGCATTACAAATTCTTCATATTCTTATTTTTTATATATATAATTTTCATACAATGTAACGTTTGTTTATACTGTTTATATGAACAATTTAGAGATATTTTTTTTAAGGTCAAACGTAAACATCTGTTTTTTTGGCACCAAAAGTTTTAATAATCAGACCAGTAATTTTGTTTTTATAATTTAGATTTTTATACAGTGTGAATTTTTTAATGAAAACATTTGAAAAAGATGTAATTTATAAAAAATGCCACCTGCCACTCAAAGCAATTAAGTTACATGTAAACTTTATTTGATGCTGTCACAATTGAGGAAAAGAGAACAGGATTATGGATACCATTAATACCCACAGTGTCATCTGAAACACCGATAGTACTCATGTTGTTAATGTGTCATCTGAAACACCGATAGTACTCATGTTGTTCATATGTCATCTGAAACACTGATAGTACTCATGTTGTACATGTGTCATTTGAAACACCGATAATACTCATGTTGTTCATGTGTCATCTGAAACACAGATAGTACTCATGTTGTTCATGTGTCATCTGAAACACAGATAGTACTCATGTTGTTCATATGTCATCTGAAACACTGATAGTACTCATATTGTTCATGTGTCATTTGAAACACCGATAATACTCATGTTGTTCATGTGTCATTTGAAACATCGATAATACTCATGTTGTTCAAGTGTCATCTGAAACACCGATAGTACTCATGTTGTTCATGTGTCGACTGAAACACTGATAGTACTCATGTTGTTCATGTGTCATCTGAAACACTGATAGTACTCATGTTGTTCATATGTCATTTGAAACACCGATAATACTCATGTTGTTCATGTGTCATCTGAAACACGGATAGTACTCATGTTGTTCATGTGTCATCTGAAACACAGATAGAACTCATGTTGTTCATGTGTCATTTGAAACACAGATAATACTCATGTTGTTCATGTGTCATTTGAAACACCAATAATACTCATGTTGTTCATGTGTCGTCTGAAACACAGATAGTACTCATGTTGTTCATGTGTCCTCTGAAACACTGATAGTACTCATGTTGTTCATAAAACTTTGGAATGGTTGACTTCAACTGTAAGAAGCAACCCTCTTTAAAAAAATTGCAAATTTACATCAAAAATATAAAATTTTTATTTAGAATGTCTAGATAAAACATCAGTGAGTGTGACCATGGTGACAAGGATGAATTGTAATACACAAGCAATTTTTGAATCTTTGGGACACATACTTTGTTTGCCGATACTTTTGATTTTACATGATGTTGAATGAAAGCAAAAATTTTTGTCACACTTTTCTAAAAAAAAAAACTATGGAACAAAATGACTTCATAATTGGTCAGCAGCTTGACAGTGATGAGTTGTAATGTGTAAGTGCCTTTTGGATCTTTTGGATATCTACTTCCTGTTTTCCGATACTTTGAATTACCAATGAGGATATGTTTATCATGACATTGTGTATTTTCTTGTTTATTTTACAGATACCTCACTAGGACCACCTGAAAACATTCAGGCAGAAGTGCTATCCCATAATTCCATTGGTGTATACTGGTCCCCTCCAACCAATAGTGCTAATCTTCCTATGACATATGAAGTTCACTGCTGGAGAGAAAGGCACATGTTTGAATATGATTACAAACATTTTGTGGTTAAAGATATTGTGCAACCTGAATATGTTATTGATTCATTGAAGTATAATACAAAATATCACATTGGAGTTATAGCTGTAAACCAGTTTGGTAGATCTAATTTTACCAATGTGGAGAATGTGACAGTCACTACATTAGATTTGCCACCACTGAAAATAAAGAATATTCGAATTATAAATCCAGGGGTAAGTTTATATCATTTTTAAAGGGGCCAGCTAAGGCCGGCCTCTGGGTGTGGGATTTTCTTGCTGTGTTAAAGACCCATTAATGGCCTTGGGCTGTTTTCTGCTCTTTGGTTGGGTTGTTGTCTCTTTGACACATTCCCTGTTTCCATTCTCAATTTTATACTACTGCGGATTCCTTAGGTACTAATTTATGTGGATTAAGGTAACAATGCATTTTGATGATATTTGATGTTGTAGTTTTTCCAAAGTCTGCATACAAGCCTAGAGAAAATTCACACTTAGTTGAACATTTAAATTAGTGGTCTACCTTTACCCACAAATACACGATAATCAGTAACACACTAGTAACAATGAATTTACAGTATAGTAATGTTGAATATTTTAAAGAGGTTTATTGGCCCGAGAACACAGTTATTTCGTCATTGTTCGTAGTGCATTTCTTTTAGACAATAAATGAAAATTAAAAAAATTCCACCTGGGCTTTTTCAATAATATTTTCACAGTATGGTGTAGTACTACTTTTGGGACAAACTATATCAAAATTATAGAAAACTTCATCAACTCTAAGTCTAACTCAAAATATTGACAATTTTATGTTAAGGTCTTGAATTCTTTTGACAGCTTCCGAAATACTAATTTTTGTCCTTTTTTAGCTGGACCAAATCACTATTTTACTTTAAAATTCATGACCAAAATTTTTTTACAGTGTAATTTCATCCCCATTCTTCAAAAATCGCAATAATAAATGCATGCAATAATTTCTGAATTTACATACAGTATTTTTATCCGCCTAACAGATGTTCCCCTGTAACCTTTGTTATAAAAAATGCCATAATATCTGTTCCAGTTGGAACAAATATTCTATACCCTTTATTCCCTTAGGAACAAATACGGTTATATTTGTTCCAGTGGAAATAATATTACAGAATATTTCTTCCACTTCAAACTCATATTATGAAGGAACTTCAATTTTATGATAACATGTGTTAGTGATCATGTGTAATGTGTGAAAGAAATGTAACAGCACAAAAGAGCAAAAACTTATACAAATCAGATGAAATGATTTTAAAAATTATCAAACCTATCTAATATTTCAATTGTAACGTTCTATATCTTTAGATACCAGAAAAGTCTTCTTATTTGAAATTTTACTGATTATGTCGAATTCACTATTGAGACTTTTTTGCTGCATGTGGATTCTCTTGACAGGTGAAGCATGCATAGCAGGATATTGTTACCCTTCTAACACACATAATAGAGTTCCATTGGCAGTGCATGCAATTCCTATTTTCTTTTTATCTTGATTTGTATATTAAAAATTGATTTACAAGTTTTGAACATTTGTGTACTAATGTTGTCCCCTAGTGTACCTCTGTATAAGTAATCCTGTTGTATATCATGTATTTCACTTCTGATATCAATTGATTAACTTTTCTAAGAAATTTTTCCTTCTTTGATTTAGGTAACCTTGAATTCTGAGGACAGAATTAGTTCAGTCTGTGAGTATATAACATTTGAATAGATAAAATTTACATATTCTACTATCAGTCAGGGATTATACAAGTCATTTTTGTCGAGCCTTCAACTTTTGTCGAAAAAGCGAGACATAGCGATCCTACATTCCGTCGTCGGTGTCGTTGTCGTCGGCGGCGTCCACAAATATTCACTCTGTGGTTAAAGTTTTTGAAATTTTAATAACTTTCTTAAACTATCCTGGATTTCTACCAAACTTGGACAGAAGCTTGTTTATGATCATAAGATAATATTCAAAAGTAAATTTTGTAAAAAAAAAATTCCATTTTATCCGTATTTTACTTATAAATGGACTTAGTTTTTCTGCCAGGAAACATTACATTCACTCTGTGGTTAAAGTTTTTGAAATTTTAATAACTTTCTTAAACTGTCCCGGATTTCTACCAAACTTGGAAAGAAGCTTGTTTATGATCATAAGATAGTATCCAGAAGTAAACTTTGTAAAAAAAAAATTCCATTTTTTCCGTATTTTACTTATAAATGGACTTAGTTTTTCTGCCAGTTAACATTACATTCACTCTGTGGTTAAAGTTTTTAAAATTTTAACAACTTTCTTAAACTATCCTGGATTTGTACCAAACTTGGACAGAAGCTTGTTTATGATTAAAAGCTAGTATCTAGAAGGAAATTTTGTTAAAATTTTGTTCCATTTTTTCCGTATTTTACTTATAAATGGACCTAGTTTTTCTTCCAGTTAACATTACATAGTCTGCAGTTTAAGTTTTTAAAACATTTATTAGATTCATAAACTATCCTGGATTTTTACCAAACTTGGACAGAAGCTACTTACAATCAAAAGATAGTATAGAGAGGAATATTTTTATTAATTTTTTTCCTCATTTTTGTTGAGCCTGCGATTAACAGCAAAAGTAGGCGAGACACTAGGTTCTGCTGAACCCTTACGAATTTTTATTTACTTGAAGATGTAAGTATAATTTACTTGAATAAGTGAATTTGTAAGATTTTTATTTTATTTTCAAGATTTGAATTATCTCCCCTTTGTAATCTTCTCCAAAAAATTACATATACAACCCCTTAAATTTTCAAGTTTTGGGAGGTCAAAACATGCCTAAACAGAATTTTTCTGATTTGCTAATTAATTTTAATTACAGTTCAACCTTTTATCTCATGAATTAAGCTAAGAAATCTATTGCACACAGATGTTAAGTAACTGCGAAAGTTACTGCACAGGTCATTCAAAAATAACCCCTTGGAGGTTTGTAAATGAGCAGTATTTTGAAGATAACAGACAAATGAGGTTGTCATTGTCCATCAAATACTTTTATTTATGTAAAGACAACTATTAATGACAAACATTTAAACACTCTACTAGAGCAATACTGTAGTCACCAGAAATTCAAGAGTAGAAGTAAATAAGATTTTTTTACTTGTATAAGTAAAAAAATCTGAATGCCTTAGGGATATTACTCTACCTCCAAAATTTTTTACTTGTACCAGTAAATAAAAAACACTTGTATAAGTATAACCCCTTACTGTCAGACTATAGCATGTATAGGTTTTTATTAGCATGATTAGGGATGTCAACTCGGTGAACAATTACTAATCGAGTACTCGTTGGTTTTATCGAGCGATACTCGAGTACTCGCTCGGGAATATATCTACAACACAGAAACACAAAAAGACGTACTTTACATTCTGTGGTCAGACTACACGAAATACGTCGGACCGTCGGACAAATCTGGTGAATAATGGATCGGTCTGGTAAAATTTTGTTGAATTCCGGTCCGAATGTCCGGTGTTGTTTTTTTCGTGGATTTTTTTAAAAACCCTACATTTTTCCCAATATTGGGAGCAAAATTCCCAAACGATCTTAAAATTCGTTCTCATCTTTATTATTCATGACAGCGATGTTTATTTTGTTCAACCGCTAGCTTTATGCCGAAAATTGCATACACGTAATGTGTAAATCCGAATAAAAACATATCTGACTGACAAAAACAACAATGGCTGCCATCAACCGGAAATATAAACAATACCGGATCAGATTCCGGGAACGGATAAGGTCAATTTCCGGGTTTGCCGATCAAATACAATAGAAACATAAAAAAAAATCCAAGCAGGTTCACAAAATACAGCTATGAAATATAAACACTAGAATTGAAAACCAAAAGATATATGAAAATGAAAGAAGATACAGGAAATATTTTATACAAAAACTCAAAATTATTTTTAGTTCACAAATAATTTTCATGTCAAAATCCAATAAAATGTGACATTAATTTTCTTTATCACTGAAATGCATTCAAGCAATTGTGCACAACTTTCATCAAAATATACACTCTTGTCACATGATTTTGTTTTTGTGCATTTTGGAGAGGAGTAGGGCACAACAAGTCATAAGATTGTTGTATTTTGTCGGATAATATACAATTAGATGTAAAAAAAATTGGTCTGGTAAAATTTCATTCGGTCTGGTAAAGCTAGGTTGTTTACCAGACCGAATGTCCTGTAAAAATAAAATTCATTCGTGTAGTCTGGTGGTTTGCTGTTCAACGGACGAAAAACCATCTACATAAGTATCTGGGACAAAGAATTGCACACCATAATTAATAGCTCACAAGTACATAGGCTAATTAAGTAAAAAAAACAATCTAATCAATATAATTTAATGAACACCTATTTAAAAATTATAACAAGGAAAAACCCGGCATATCAAACAATTGTATTTGGTAATCGCTAAGAAAACATATTTGATGTTTACAAAGGCGTAAGAATTAGAAGTTTAACTATTCACTGAGGGTCACCATAGGATGCAACAAATTTATTTTATTTGGAATCAATATCTAGTCAACTTTTATTGGGGACAATCGGTTTGCAACTTTGTAAATTAGTCTTGCAGATGAAAAAAATGTTCTGACGGTACCAATGTGACGGAATGGCTAAGACATGTTGAGTTTAAAGTGTTAGCCTAGGTATAACCCACGTATTTTCGCCGGCATTTTAAATGACAATTAAGCACAAGTATTCGAATTAAAATGTATTTTATCTACTAGTATGATTAATCAGTGATGCCTATTTAATTTTCCGAAAGAGGTTCTCAAGAAGATCAATTTTATATAAAGAAGACAGCAATATTCTAACAGGAAACCGATTAGTCGAGTATCGTTTTGGTATTTGATACTCGGTACTACCGAGCGATACTTGAATACTCGAGTACTCGTTGACATCCCTAGTTTTTATACTATTTCTGATTATGTTGCAGTTGAAATGAAATTGGAATTTTTACTTAATGGACACCTCATGTTTTCAAATAAATTCATTTATTTTCATGAAATTAGAAAAGAGTTGAAGTATTTTTAGAAGTTTGCCTTTCATTCTTGATTACTTAGAACTTTTCATGGAATTTGTAATTTCGTGATATTCTGTCATTCAGCACATTGAGGCATTCATCAATTGAAATAATATAATGAGTAATGTTTAATATTTTCGTCTATTTAAGCACCTTCTCCAGCAGAAGCAATGTCAACAACCACCTCTGTAACAGATACTGGAGAGGAACATTCTGGTACAGTAAGTATACTGTAAAGTAGACTGTAATAATTCTTTATTGTCTTGTCTTGACAGAGTTGAAAATCAAGACTTAGGCATGCTGTTTTTAGCGGTGGGGATGGTGGCAGCATCAACAATTTGTTACTTCTTTAGATGTTTTTAAAAAGCAACTCAAGACTCACTTATTTCGAACTGCTTTTAAGGATTTCTTGTAGATTTTATATACTTTTAATTGACTGCATTAGTTTTAGACTGTTTTGTTTATTTTAGGGTACATGCATTTTTCATTTTTAGTATTTTATTAATTTTTATATGCTTGTATGATTCTTGTAAGTTGGTACTTTGTAATTTTTGGATTATGTATTTTTGTATTTTATTTATTTTTTAAATGTGAAGCGCTTAGAGTAATTGTTGTTATTATATAATGCCCTTTATAAATATTGTATTTATTATTATTTATTATTACTTGTTAAAGTTTGTGATTAGGTCAGGGAACCTCACATGAAATTCACAAGTATATTCCTACTTCACATTAGTGTGATTATTCCGTCATATTGAAACCCTAGGGAAAATACATCAGGGAATTCACAGTTACACTAGTCAGTGGGATATCCAGTGAATGAAAACAAAAGAAAATTCACTCTTCTTATGATATAGTTGAGAAAGTCAATAATAAACAATACCGGTGACGATACTGATCAAAAGTTATTTCTAAACAATAATTGTACATTTTAAAGAAATTATTTGTTAAACTGTGTTATTAGAAATATACATGCTAATACAAGATGTTTTATGTTCAGTATTTATCGAGATAATTGCATTAGAAGCTTATGAAAATGAAATTTAAAAAATGCCAATCTTTGCTGCATATTGATAAAAAAAATTGGAAAAAATCATGTACATACAAAATTGAAAGATCTTTCGAGTCACCAATTTTTGGAGTGTTCCAAAAAGTCATTAGCATGTTACAATTTCCTAAAGTATGCTTATTAGGGACCCGCCAAATGGCGGACACCCTATAGTGATCAGTCTGTCCGTCCGTCCGTCCGTCCGTCCTTAACAAAATGTGTCCGCTCTATATCTAGAGAACCGTTATGATTTCAAAGTTTATACTTGACATGTATATTAACCAACACCAGAGGTTGTGTCATAATGTATGTACAACTTCCTAGGTCAAAGATCAAGGTCAAAAACTTTGGTTTTAGTTGACAACACCATGTCCTATGGTAAAGATTGTGTCCGCTCTATATCTTGAGAAACGTTATGATTTTAAAGTTTATACTTGACATGTATATAAACCAACACCAGAGGGTGTGTCATAATGTATGTACAACTTCCTAGGTCAAAGGTCAAGGTCAAAAACTTTGGTTTTAGTTGACAACCCAATGTCCTATGGTAAAAAAGTGTCCGCTCTATATCTTGAGAACCGTTATGATTTCAAAGTTTATACTTGACATGTATATTAACCAACACCAGAGGGTGTGTCATAATGTATGTACAACTTCCTCCCTCAAAGGTCAAGGTAAAAAAAATTGGTTTTAGTTGACAACCCCATGTCCTATAGTAAAGATCGTGTCAGCTCTATATCTTGAGAACCGTTATGATTTCAAAGTTTATACTTGACATGTATATTAACCAACACCAGAGGGTGTATCATAATGTATGTACAACTTCCTAGGTCAAAGGTCAAGGTCAAAAACTTTGGTTTTAGTTGACAACCCCATGTCCTATGGTAAAGATCGTGTCCGCTCTATATCTTGAGAACCGTTATGATTTCAAAGTTTATACTTGACATGTATATAAACCAACACCAGAGGGTGTGTCATAATTTATGTACAACTTCCTAGGTCAAAGGTCAAGGTCATAAACTTTGGTTTCAGTTGACAACACCATGTCCAATGAGAAAGATACAAATTTTTACCACACATTATTCACAGCGGGGGCCCACAGAGATGGCTCCCATCTCAATGATATCTAGTTTTTTCACCTCTAAGTTATTGAGCACACTGGTCTGCTCTTCTCACATGTACATTCAATAGAGAAATATTGTCTTGTCGTGAATTTTATAAATTTAAAAGTATGTCTGTGCAGATTAAAAAAAAAAAACAAACTATTTTTATAAAGCAGATATCTTTCTAATATTTTGTATACAACTTTAAGAAAAGGTCGTCTCGAGTTTTGTACAAGTATTTGCAGTCTTCCCGATCAGAGGTAGAGGTGACCGCCTGTATCCCTGCACTATTAAAGTTCATCAAGTGTCTTCGTGATTGTTATTATGCAGGCTAATCTAGAAATAATATTTGTTCCATAGGTACTTAATCACAATTCCCTAATGACAGCAGAGCTAATTATCAATTATAAGAATAATTCGTGCAATTTAACATCATATTTTTTGCAACCGCTCGCTCAACATGGGAAGGAAGTGACGATGCCCCTAAACGCACGAATGTTCACTAAAACCAAACTTTTTGACAGAAATGCAATGAACTCAATAGTGGTCTATTCTATATCGTCTCCATGCAGATACCAACTTATGGATGATGTCACCTTTCAGTAGGTTTACATCAGGATCAGGGGGTCAAAATAGAAAAGCAGTGATTTGTTTAAGTAGAAATCTATTTGAATCATTCCATTTGCTAATTTATTTGTGTAAAAAAACTATAAAGCAGATGCATAGAAGAATTTTACATGATACCACTTTTTCAACCTTCACATTGAAACAACAACTCTCCAAAAACTCTCCTTAAGTTAAGTTGTGTCATCCTGGTTAAGTTTACTTAAATTTTCTGAAAGCCTTATAAAATCTTGTGAAATTAAAGAAAATATGATCAGCAAGTTTATCTTACAATACAATATCTTAAGAGCTTAATATATAAACAATTGTGACAGTTGTATTGTATTATGGCTATATCTATCTCATTGATATATATATATATATATACCGCCTCAGTGGTCTCGTGGTACTGTACTTACCTTGAGTGCGGGAAGTCATAGGCTCTATACCCAGCCAGGTCAAACCAAAATCATAAAAATTAGTATTTAATTAGGTTCTTCTAAGCCAATCTTGCAGCATTTAGGAGTAAGAGCACAGACTGGTCAGCTTGGAGTCAGAATAATGTGTCCGGGTACGTAGAGTCACATGTCTTCTTTCAGTCTGTTACCTTGTGAACTAGCATGTTAAAATCTGACTCAGTCTGTTGGTCTAGCACAAAACAGAGTTCGTATTCATATCACATTAACATGTTCTTGTCTAGATCTTGAATATGCATTAAATTTTCTGCTGGACGATAAACAGCAATCCATTATCATCATCATCAACATCATCATCATCGACATACTAACTCATATCCTTTACTTCATATTTTAAGAGATTTTATATATAGCAGCAATGTTTAGATTATCTGCATGTTGATTCTTACAAATTTTTATTTTAACAGGCAGTTGAGATATCCTGGTCCAATACTAGTGAAGCTCAGAACTGGCCACTCAAGTGGACACAACATATCATTCATTATAAAACAGATGATAATAATACAATACATCAAAAAAGTGTGTGGAAAAACAGCACCATCATATATAGTAGGTATCAAGTTTTACTTCCTGGTTTCCAAAAATGGGAAGGGTACAGGTCCTTGACATTTTACTTCAGAAGTCTAATGGGACCTTTTACCAATTTACACATAAGAATACATTATATTCTGATTGGCTTACCAATTTATACACGAGAACACATTATATTCTGATTGGTGTACCAATTTACACAAGAGAACAAGTTATATTCTGATTGGCATTACCAATTTACACAAGAGAACACTTTATAATTTGATTGGTGTACCAATTTACACAAGAGAACACATTATATTCTGATTGGTGTATTAATTTACACACGAGAACACATTATATTCTGATTGGCATACCAGTTTACACATATATTCTGATTGGTGTTCCAATTTACACAAGAGAACACTTTATATCCTGATTGGTGTACAAATTTACACAAGAGAACACATTTTTTTCTGATGGGTGTATTAATTTACACACGAGAACACATTATATTCTGATTGGCATACCAGTTTACACATATATTCTGATTGGTGTTCCAATTTACACAAGAGAACACTTTATAATTTGATTGGTGTACCAATTTACACAAGAGAACACATTATATTCTGATTGGTGTATTAATTTACACACGAGAACACATTATATTCTGATTGGCATACCAGTTTACACATATATTCTGATTGGTGTTCCAATTTACACAAGAGAACACTTTATAATTTGATTGGTGTACCAATTTACACAAGAGAACACATTATATTCTGATTGGTGTATTAATTTACACACGAGAACACATTATATTCTGATTGGCATACCAGTTTACACATATATTCTGATTGGTGTTCCAATTTACACAAGAGAACACTTTATATCCTGATTGGTGTACAAATTTACACAAGAGAACACATTTTTTCTGATGGGTGTATTAATTTACACAAGAGAACACATTATATTCTGATTGGTGCACCAATTTACAAAAGAACACATTATTCTGATTGGTGTTCCAATTTACACAAGAGAAATTGGTCAATATAATATGTAGACGATAAAACAAGAAGTTATAACCAAACAACAGGAAACATATGAGGTTACGAGAGGGTTGAGCACTCACAAACATGTTTAACCACATTACATGCTTGCCTGTCCAAATTAAGGAGCATGTAGTTCAGTGGTTGTCATTAGTTCATGTCTTTCATTTTTTTTTTTCGTAAATTGTTTTGTTTTGTTATAAATTAGGAAGGATGTTAATATATTTATGCCCTAGCCACAAGGCGAAGTGTGCATTAAGTGTTACCCTTGACTGTCCGTCTTTCCATCTTTCCGTCTTTCTGTCCATTTATTCATCCGTCCTTCCACCTTTCTGTCCCATTTTCGTTTGAAAAGCAAGCTTGAGCAGTGGCATTCGTGTCCTTGGACACATTTGTCTTTTATTTTGTATTACTTTTATCGTTTCAGAATTAGAAAATGATAAGATGTATTACTTCAGGATTGAGACCGTGTTTCCAGGAAAAAGTATCTTTTCAGCATGGGAAAAGTTTTCAACATATCTTACAGGTAAAATTTAATAAACTTCGCTCAGTTTACAGTACACATTTATGTTTAATATTTTTATTTATTCTAGTGATTTTATTTTTAGCAGCACACTTTTTTATAAATATTTTTTTTTCAATACAACATCAATTTATTGTTGGTATTGTATTTGCTATTTCCAAATATCTGTAACCAGTGAGTATGATTCTATTTAGAATATCAAATGGTCTCCGGTTAAGTATCTACTATTCAAGGGAAGTAATCCTGTCACACATCTCCCAAAAATGAGGCCAAAAATAAAATTGAATTGTTTGATATTGCCTACCTACCCACCTCAAAGCAGCCTACCCGAAAAATTTTATGACAAATCTTTTCAAATTTTTTTAAAAGATTTTTTCCTGCTTTTACGTTGTTTTCTTGTCTAAACCATGCAACTTAAGTTGTTTGCAAACAAAAAAAAAATCCCTACCTACCTATCCAATCCTTCAAGGCATGGGTAGGCAACATCAACAGAGAATTGTTTAAAGGTGGCTTGACTATCACAACACATATCCTGGCTAGATATCCTCTCTAACCACCACAGGTTTTTTTAGTTGGGTGCCAAATGTAACTAGAGAGCATGATTGTCATTACAAAATTACATTGTCTCCACCAGGACTCGAACCCTGGACCTCTGTGTATAACAAGTCATCAGTATTATTCACTGCACTAAAAGAATTACTTCCAAGCTAGCTCAACCACTTACGACTCTGGTACTCAAGGGAAACAATACTGTCAATCATCTACGAAGTTCATGACTTTACATTAGCATAGGATCTAATCAAACTATCAAAAACCATGTTGGATTTTAAGTCAATATTACTCAAATTGATAATTAATTAATAAAATCAAATTTAAATAATATTTTAAGTACTGTAAATTCAGAGACTAGTGCAAGGTTTTTAATTATTGCGAATAATGCTGGGTGAGTATCTCAATAAGAAGAACTCGCATTTTGATATCTGATACATAAATCTGTATGCATATTTTCCTGAAATCGCAATAATTAATGTTGCATTTTATTTCATTCTTCAATCGCAATAATAAATAATAAATACATGCAATAATTTCTGAATCAACAGAAAATATTTTATTTTCAGAGAAAACTTCACCTCCACCTCCTAAAGACATGTATCTAACAGTACTGGCTAACAATTCAATGGTCATAAAGTGGTTACCCCCTCCTCAGGAGTACCGTGTAAGAGTCAGACAATACCAGATTGTAGTAGCAGAGGAAGATGGAAGAAAACAGTTCTTTAGGGTGGATGAACAGATCAGAAAGTTTCTTGTTCATAATTTAGGTACGTAAATTATTAAGTTTTCTCTACTCTCAATCTGACTAAAATCAGATTTTTTTTTTCACTTTGCACCATTAGATCTGAAAACATCTTATAAGGGGTGCTAGTGCAATTTGTCAATACAAGATAAACTTATGAAAAATAAATTTCAAAAAGTAATTTGCTTGATTGCCAATGATTAATCTTGAGCACTGCTGCTTATGCTCATAAAACTCAACATAAGCATTGAATTTATTACAATATTGTTGAACCTTTAAATTTTTTTTTCAGATAGAAGCAAAGATTACACGGTAGAAATAGCTGCAATTAACAACATAGGTGAAAGTGACAAGATTGTCAGATTCTTGGAAGCATTCAGTAAGATATTTGTTTTTCAGTCTGTGCAGATTATGAAAATAAGGAAATGTGGTTTGATTGCCAACGTGACAACTATAATCTACCATAGAACAAAGAAGAAGGGGTTGAAACAAGTTAAATCTGCATAATCATATGAAGGAGTTCTGCTATTCCTTAAAGATTTGAAAGTTTATACTTTTTTCTATGTAAAATTTTATGTTATTTTTATTTAAAAAAAAACACCATATGTTTTGTGTTACTGAGGGCACACAGTACCATTTTTGTTTACAGACAAGTGTATACGTAGTATAAGTTATTATACCTATTTTGATCTTTTTGTCAAGCCTGCGAAATGTATTCCGCGAAAGCGATACATAGTGATCCTCGATTCCAACGTCGTTGTCCGTGTTGTCAACATTTAGGTTCAGTCTGTAGTTAAAGTTTTTTATGCCCCTGCCGTGGCGGAGGGGGTATTAAGTTTTACCCTTGTCCATCCGTACTTCAGTCCGTATGTCCCAAAATTTCCGTCTACTTTAGTTTGCCTCAATCAAGTGTTATGAAACTTATACACAATGCTTATTACTACAAAACACAGATCTAAGTTTGAATTTTGATGGCGTCACATTTACCGTTCTAGTGTTATGCCTCTTTACAAGTAGAAAAATTGCTGAATTTTACGTTTCCTTTCTCTCACTTTAATTTGCCTCAACAAAATGTTATGAATCTTATACACAATGCTTATTACCACAAAACACAGATCAAGTTTGAATTTTAGTGGCTTCACATTTATGGTTCTAGAGTTATGCCCCTTTATAAATAGAAAAATTGCTGAATTTTTCGTTTCTGTTCTCTAACTTTAGTTTGCCTCAACAAAATGTTATGAAACTTATACACAATGCTTATTACTACAAAACACAGATCTAAGTTTGAATTTTGATGGTGTCATGTTTACTGTTCTAGAGTTATGCCCCTTTACAAGTAGAAAAATTGCTGAATTTTTCGTTTCCTTTCTCTCACTTTAATTTGCCTCAATGAAATGTAATGAATCTTATACACAATGCTTATTACCACAAAATACAGATCAAGTTTGAATTTTAGTGGCTTCACATTTACGGTTCTGGAGTGTCCCTTTACAAATAGAAAAATTGCTGAATTTTTTGTTTCTGTTCTCTAACTTTAGTTTGCCTCAACAAAATGTTATGAATCTTATACATAATGCTAATTATCACAAAACACAGATCAAGTTCGAATTTTTGTGGCGTCACATTTACTGTTCTAGAGTTATGCCCCTTTACAATTGGAAAAATTGCTGAATTTTTTGTTTCTGTTCTCCAACTTCAGTTTGCCTCAACCAAATGTTATGAAACTTATACACAATGCTTATTACCACAAAAGTCTGATCAATTACAAATTTGGGTACCGTCACTTCCATGGTTCTTGAGTTATGTTCCCCGTTTATTTAGACATCTATAACTTTGTCAAACCTACGTGGAATTTTATGAAAGTCGGACAGAAGCTAATGTTTATGAACAAAATACAGTATCCAGAGCAAAATTTTTAAGATATTTATTTTCATTTTCTGTATTTTACTGATAAATGTACTTAGTTTTTTTTACAGTTAACATTCAGATTTAGTCTGAGGTTAAAGTTTTTTTTATACATCAATAACTTTGTCAAACCTTCATGCTATTTAGCTTTCTGCTATTTACTGATAAATGACTTAGTTTATTCTTTTTATAGTTAACAAGTAGATACATTGTAGTCTGGGGTTGAAGTTTGTTACACATCAATTACTTTGTCAAACCTTTATAGAGTTTTATGAAACTTTGGCAGAAGCTTTTTAATGATTAAGAGATATTGTCTGAAGCAAATCTTTGAAAATATGTTTTGTTTCATTTTTAACCGGATTTTCGAAGGAAATATTGGTTATTGATTTTGAGATGTACAGCGGGCAGATGGGCCGACGAGTGGCTGCCAAACAGTGTCTACTCAATAACATGAAAACGCTTTGACAGGTTTTTTTTAAATTAAGATATGTTGTTACCTGTGACTAAATGAAGGTCAAGTTCAATTTTCACCATTTTAGCTTTTCTCCTTGTTGAGTTATCACCCTTTTTAATATCCAAAAGTAGTATTTTTAATGTGATTGGGTTATTTCTCTTTGAACAGAAATGGTTAATTATATATATAAAGTTTGATTACACTAACATGACTAATTTTCACCTGTTGGTATATAAGAGCATCTGGTAAATGTCTCACACAATTATAATTGGATTGACAGATTTATTTGAAAATTTTCTGTTTTCTAAGTGTTGATGATTATAAGCTATATAGGACTGTATAAATAAAGTTAGAAATTAACTGTTCACTATTAGACATTTTGAAGATAATTACAGATAAGTTTTATGGATTTTTAAAAGACATTGTATTAATGATAAATAAAATTTTGTGAATTTTTTTTTCTTTTCTTTGGTAAATTGTTTGAAGAATTTTGTGGTAGGTTGGTTTGTTATTCTGTAAAAACTAATTTTCTGAATGCTTTATATATTTTTTTATGAAGTGAACTACTTTAGTTAGATAATAATCTATTTTTATTATAGGATATACATTTGTATTTCATTACATTTAAAGTTGTTGACATTGATAAGTTGCAGATCTGTATTAGTTTGTGATAAATGAAAGAAAAATATTTGGAACTATTAATTATATTTGATTATAATTTGAAAATAGATATACATTGTGTTACATCATATCTTATTTTAGAGAATTATTAGTCATGAATCATATCTAATGTTAGAGTACTATGTTAAACCATATTTCAGTTCAAAGGGAAATAACTCAAACTTACTCCATGAACCAGTAATGATAAAATCAAAATTTCTTTATAACTATTTTTTTTAAGTCATGTGTGTTATGAAGGTAGATGTCACAGTTGAGAAATGTTATGAGTACATGTATTTTATTTTTGTTGTGTGTGTTAATGTTTAATTTTTACATGATCCTGTTAGGGGTTCAGATTTGCAAATATCGTTTTCATTATTAATTAGATAATAATCTATTTAAGATATTCAATCACAATACAAATTCATAGCTGTTTCAAGCATAAATGTTTTGTCCATTCTTTCTCTACTGTTCAGGATTCGACCTCTGCAGGAAAATCCGGTTTGCTGTCACTCGACAGCCTCTTTTTAGTAATTTTCTGATTGATTGACTTCTTTTTAGCTCACCGGGGCCTGAAGGGCCCCATGTGAGCTTATGCCATCACTTGGCGTCCGTCGTCTGTCGTCGTCATCGTCTGTTGTCGTCTGTCGTCGTCTGTCGTCGTAAACTATTTCAAAAATCTTCTCCTCTGAAACTACTGGGCCAAATACCTTCAAACTTTAAATAAATGTTCCTTAGGGTATCTAGTTTATAAATTGTATCCGAAGTTTTGATCCATCGACAAACATGGCCGCCATGGCTACAAATAGAACATAGGGGTCAAATACAGTTTTTGGCTTATATCTCAAAGACTAAAGCTTTTAGAGCAAATCTGACATAGGGTAAAATTGTTCAATTGGTCAAGATCTATCAGCTCTGAAATTTTCAGACGAATCGAACAACCCATTGTTTGGTTGCTGCCACTGAATTGGTAGTTTTAACAAAATTTTGCAGTTTTTAGCTCACCTGACCTGAAAGGTCAAGTGAGCTTTTCTTATCACTTTGCGTCCGTCGTCCGTCGTCCTGCGTCCGTCGTCCGTCGTCAGTAAACTTTTACAAAAATCTTCTCCTCTGAAACTACTGGGCCAAATTTGACCAAACTTGGCCACAATCATCATTGGGGTATCTAGTTTAAAAAATGTGTGCGGTGACCCGGCCAACCAACCAAGATGGCCGCCATGGCTAAAAATAGAACATGGGGGTAAAATGTAGATTTTGGCTTATATCTCTGAAACCAAAGCATTTAGAGAAAATCTGACATGGTGTAAAATTGTATATTAGGTCAAGATCTGTCTGCCCTGAAATTTTCAGATGAATCGGACAACCTGTTGTTGGGTTGCTGCCCCTGAATTGGTAATTTTAAGGAAATTTTGCCGTTTTTGGTTATCATCTTGAATATTATTATAGATAGAGATAAACTGTAAACAGCAATAATGTTCAGCAAAGTAAGATCTACAAATAAGTCAACTTGACCAAATTGGTCAGTTGACCCCTTAAGGAGTTATTGCCCTTTATAGTCAATTTTTAACCATTTTTCGTAAATTTTTGTAATCTTTTACAAAAATCTTCTCCTCTGAAACTACTAAGACAAATTTAACCAAACTTGTCCACAATCATCATTAGGGTATCTTGTTTAAAAAATGTGTCCGATGACCCCGCCCGTGAACCAAGATGGCCGACATGGCTAAAAAATAGTACATAGGGTAAAATGCAGTTTTTGGCTCATATCTCTGAAACCAAAGCATTTAGAGCAAATCTGATGAGTATAAAATTGTTCATTAGGTCAAGATCTATCTGCCCTGAAATTTTCTTACCAATCAGGCAACCCGTTGTTGGGTTGCTGCCCCTGAATTGGTAATTTTAAGGAAATTTTGCCGTTTTTGGTTATTATCTTGAATATTATTATAGATAGAGATAAACTGTAAACAGCAATAATGTTCAGCAAAGTAAGATCTACAAATAAGTCAACTTGACCAAAATTGTCAGTTAACCCCTTAAGGAGTTATTGCCCTTTATTGTCAATTTTTAACCATTTTTCGTAAATTTTTGTAATTTTTTACAAAAATCTTCTCCTCTGAAACTACTAGGACAAATTTAACCAAACTTGTCCACAATCATCATTAGGGTATCTAGTTTAAAAAATGTGTCTGATGACCCCGCCCGCGAACCAAGATGGCTGACATGGCTAAAAAATAGTACATAGGGTAAAATGCAGTTTTTGGCTCATATCTCTGAAACCAAAGCATTTAGAGCAAATCTGACATGGGGGTAAAATTGTTCATTAGGTCAAGATCTATCTGCCCTGAAATTTTCAGACCAATCAGGCAACACATTGTTGGGTTGCTGCCCCTGAATTGGTAATTTTAAGAAAATTTTGCAGCTTTTGGTTATTATCTTGAATATTATTATAGATAGAGATAAACTGTAAACAGCAATAATGTACAGCAAAGTTAGATCTACAAATAAGGCAACATGACCAAAATTGTCAATTGACCCCTTAAGGAGTTATTGCCCTTTATAGTCAATTTTTTACAATTTTCATAAATTTTGTAAATTTTTGTAAATTTTTACAAAGTATTTTCCACTGTATCTACCGGGCCAAGTTCATTATAGATAGAAGTAAGGAGCAAGAATGTTCAGTAAAGTAAGATCTACAAACACATCACCATCACCAAAACACATCACCATCACCAAAACACAATTTTGTCATGAATCCATCTGTGTCCTTTGTTTAATATGCACATAGACCAAGGTGAGCGACACAGGCTCTTTAGAGCCTCTAGTTTGTTATTATTTTGAATATTATTATAGATATATATAAACTGTAAGCAGCAATAATGTTCAGCAAAGTAAGATCTACAAAAAAGTTAATATGACCAAAATTGTCAATTGACCCCTTTAGGAGTTATTGCCCTTTAAAGACAATTTTACACAATTTGTTCATCAAGTTTGCTAACATTTAAAAATCTTCTCCTCTGAAATACAGGTGAGCGATTCAGGCTCTTGAGAGCCTCTTGTTTACAGATAGTTTGGGATTAAATTTTTTTGACATGATAAATTTGTAAGCCTCCATGAATTGTTATAAAACTATGACAGAAGCTAATCCTCAAGACAAAGAAATAGCATCTAAAGAAAAAGAATGATTTTTTTTTTTAATTCTGTATTTTACTGATAAATGGACTCACTTTTTAAGTTAATATTAAAAATTACTCTTTTTCACTGACAGCAGCAATCACAGACGAGACACAGGGTTCCGTCAAACTCCTTACAATTTTTTATGGATTATGTTTTCAACTTTATACATGTATAAAAAGCACTATTCTTACAGAAATTTTACAGGATATCTCTTTTATAGGAAATATTTCTAACGGCATCTACATCTCTGCCAAACCATTATCATCAACAAGTGTGCAGGTGTCCTGGACCACTTCATATAATTCAGACTTGACGAGATATCTGCTACGATACAATACTATTAAATCTGCAGCCAGTCAGCCAGTAGATTCCTTCGTCAAACCATCAGTAATGAGCCATGTGATGAACAATTTGCAACAACATACGGAATATATTATATCGTTGATACCATATTTTAATGACATGCCAGGAAACTTAACTATGACAACCGTATGGACATATTCAGATGTCCCATCGGCACCGCCAAAAGATGTAACTGTGCTAAGTGTTAATAATTCTGTAAGTAAAGCCATACAACTGATTTATTTTCTTCTTTATTTATTTCATGGATTACAACATTTTCCTAAATCGATATATTCTTCAATTTATTTCTGCAACATTTATACATGATCTGGGCACTACCCAAAAAAGACAGACCAAAGGTGCCAAACAGATACTCAAACTCATAAGTCGAAAACAAACTGATTTTTATAGTTTGTTCATATGTTGTACTGTTACACCACTGTCCAAGGTTAGGGGGAGAGTTGGGGGCCCACTAACATGTTTAACCCCGCCACATTCTGTATGTGCCTGTGTTAAGTCAGGAGCCTGTAATTCAGTGGTTGTTCTTTGTTGCTGTATATCATATTTGTTTTTCTTGCATAAATCAGGCCATTAGTTTTCTCGTTTGAATTGTTTTACATTTGTCATTTTGGGGCCTTTTATAGCTGACTATGCGGTATGGGTTTTACTCATTGTTGAAGGTAGTGATCTGTAGTTGTTAATTTCTGTGTCATTTGGTCACTTGTGGAGAGTTGTCTCATTGGCAATCATACCACATCTCCTTACTTTTATATTGGCAATGTCATGGAAAAAAAATGAAAAATGACCAAAAGACAATCAACAGTATACGTTACACAACATAGAAAACTAAAGACTGAGCAACATGAACTCCACCAAAAACCGGGGTTGATCTCATAGTAGGTGTCTACAGATAACAAAATTGAGTTAAAAGTAACTTATAGATATAGAAAAATATCAGTATTAAAGAGATTATGCATACTAGTTCAGACTGTATGCACAAAAACGAGGCTCCAACAAATAGTTTTACTATATGTCAAATTCTGTTTACTAAACTCTGTTAAATACACAGCTTTGATGGACTCTAGGTGATTTAGAGGTGACTTTATAATATTGCATATGAAGACATTTGTCTACTATTGAAGACTATATAGAAAAACAAAGGATATGGGGTATCCATCCTGCATGACACAAAATCAGTACATGCACAGCAAAAAACACACAAAAAGCAAAGGAACAGCGCTTTTATTGTTGTTCTTCATCTCAAAAATCACAGTGAGGCCTTCAACAAGGAGCAAAAAACTCTCACCTCACTGCAAGTTTTAGACAGCCCCTAGCACCAGTTTGAGTGGAATTCTTTGCAAAATCATTAAGGATGTTCATCTAGTCTTTTGGTTGTTACGTCATTGTAAAATACACCATATATCCTTTAATTTAGAAGGTCTGGAATTTCATGGAATAGAAGTTCCTTTATATCAAAGTTTACAGAAGAACTTCAATTTAATGAGGAACAAATATATAAATGACTATAAAATCTTAATATTTTCCAGCAGAACTTTATGGTCTCTTGGAATCCACCACCAGAACATACAAGGAATGGTGACTTGGTTTATTACCGTTTAGAATATAGAACTAAGTATGACGAGACAAGTAAAACTATGCTGGTTCCTGCTGATAAAAATGAAATGTTGCTATCAGGTAAGGCTACAATATAATTATTCGTTAAACTTACAACTTAATAAAGATAAGGATACAATGAATAAAGAAATGGAACCTGGTATAAATAAAATAAATCATTTTGAGAGTAAACATATAATTCTTCCCTCACTTGTGTAGTGTGAGCTATTTTCATCATTTGATAGTCATCATGGTTATTGTCTGTTCACTTTTTATACGCCCGTCAAATTTTTGACGGGACGTATTATGGTATACAAATGTCCGGCGTCCGTCCGTCTGTCTGTCCGTCTGTCCGTCTGTCTGTCCGTCTGTCCGTCTGTCTGTCCGTCTGTCTGTCCGGCGTAAACATGTCGCACCGTAACTTGAGAATGACTTATCTAAATTTCATGAAACTTGAGATAGTTGTTTCTTATGATGGTCAAACGATCTGTATACTTTTTGGTGAAAATAAGATTAAAACTTTTTGAGTTACGGGACTTAGTAACTAAAACAGGTGTGTGTTTTTTTTCACATGTCGCGCCGTATCTCAAAAACAATTTATGATTATTGCTTAAAACTTTACACACTTCTTAGTTATATTAATCTTAAGATCTGTATACTTTTTGGTGATGATTCAAAATTTTATTTTAGAGATATTGAGTATTTTGTTAAAAAAGGGGGAGGGGTTTTTCACATGTCGCGCCGTATCTCAAAAACAGTTTATGATTATTGCTTAAAACTTTACACACTTCTTAGTTATATTAACCTTAAGATCTGTATACTTTTTGGTGATGATTCAAAATTTTATTTTTGAGTTATTCAGTATTTTGTAAAAAAAGGGGGAGGGATTTTTCACATGTCGCGCCGTATCTCAAAAACGATTTATGATTATTGCTTAAAATTTTACACACTTCTTAGTTATATTAATTTTAAGATCTGTATACTTTTTGGTTTTGATTCAAAATTTTATTTTTGAGATATTGATTTTTTTTTTTAAAAGGGGGGGTTTTCACATCGCGCCGTATCGCAAAAATGATTTATGATTATTGCTTAAAATTTTACACACTTCTTAGTTATATTAATCTAAAGATCTTTATACTTTTTGGTTTTGATTCAAAATTTTATTTTAGAGATATTGAGTATTTTGTAAAAAAAAAGGGGGGTTTTTGCATGTCCAACCTATGTCAGAAACTATTTATGCTTATTGCATAAAAATTCACACACAAGACGACGGGCGTATCATGCGCTCATGGCGCAGCTGTTTATTTTTATTGTCATGGGGTTGCTGTCCCATTTATGTATGCTCACAACTTTTTTATTCATATATATAGAGTTTGCATTTTTGCCTTTTGTCTAGTGGTGCAATCAGGGTTTTGTTTGTGAAATGGGGTTTATAAAGGGGTACTTTGAGGGGCATAAAGGAAGGAGGGGTTTACTATAGAACCCTATGGGATTTTATTTTTTTTTATTTTCAAATGATTATAACTTGAAAACAGTAAGTGATAGACACAATATTTATAATTGAAAATGTTCTAAATGATAAAGCACATTAAATAAAATAAAAGCTTAGTCCCCAGGGGTTACCCCCACCCCCTGCCATTAGAGAAAGTTTTAATACCTTGGAAGTGGTCAAGATCCCCACCCCTAAACCATATATATTTTGGTTTGTCATGATAAAGCACATCAAATGAAATAGAGGGTTAGTCCCCAGGGGTCATCCCCTCCCCCTGCCATTTGAGAAAGTTCTAATATCTTGGAAGTGGTCAAGATCCCCACCCCTAAACCATATATATTCTGGTTTGTCATGCCGAGATGATTTGAATGATAAACAGGGTTAGTCCCCAGGGGTCTTCCCGACCCCCTACCATTTGAGAAAGTTCTAATATCTTGAAAGTGGTCAAGGTCCCCACCCCTAAACCATATATATTCTGGTTTGTCATGCCGAGAAGATTTGAATGATAAACAGGGTTAGTCCCCAGGGGTCTACCCGACCCCCTGCCATTTGAGAAAGTTTTTATATCTTGGAAGTGGTCAAGATCCCCACCCCTAAACCATATATATTTTGGTTTGTCATGATAAAGCACATCAAATGAAATACAGGGTTAGTCCCCAGGGGTCATCCCCACCCCCTGCCATTTGAGAAAGTTCTAATATCTTGGAATTGGTCAAGATCCCCACCCCTAAACCATATATATTCTGGTTTGTCATGCCAAGAAGATTTGAATGATAAACAGGGTTAGTCCCCAGGGTCTACCCGACCCCCTGCCATTTGAGAAAGTTCTAAAATCTTGTAAGTGGTCAAGATCCCCACCCCTAAACCATATATATTCTGGTTTGTCATGCCAAGATGATTTGAATGATTAACAGGGTTAGTCCCCAGGGGTCGTCCCGACCCCCTGCCATTTTAAAAAGTTCTAATATCTTGTAAGTGATCAGGATCCCTACCCCTAAACCATGCCAAGATGATTTGAATGATAAACATGGTAAGACCCAAGGGGTCATCCCCACCCCCAGTCATTTGAATATGTTCAAATATCTTGTTAATGGTTGAGATCCCCAACCCTAAACCATATATATACTTGTTTGTCATGTCATGAAGATTTGAATGATATGTAGGAAAAGTCCCCAGGGGTTTCCCCAACCCCGAATGTTATAATATCTTGTAAATGGTTGAGATCCCCACCCCTAAACCATATATATTCCTGATCTTCATGTTCCAAAGATTTGAATAATATATAGGGTCAGTCCCCAGGGGTTCTCCCAACCCCAAATGTTCTAATATCTTGTAAACAGTCAAGATCCCCACCCCTAAACCATATATATTCCTGATCGTCAGTTCACAAAGATTTGAATGATATATAGGGCCAGTCCCCAGGGGTCACCCCAATCCAAATGTCTAATATCTTGTAAATGGTCGAGATCCCCACCCCTAAACCATATATATTCCTGTTCGTCATTTCACATAGATTTGTATGACATGCAGGGTCAGTTCCTAGGCGTCACTAATGCATATCACTTTACTGGACCAATCCAATTTGTACTGGACTTTGCCCAATGTCAGGCGACCATAGGAATGACGAATTATGGGAGCTTCGTTTGGGAGACTTCGTAACAGCATCCTGTTACAATCATTTCTTGTTATTAATAGCTTTGAATAATATTTAAATTTCCATGAGTATCTGGAAATGAAATAAACTTTAAATTTCATTGAATCTGCTGTAATTGATACACAACTGAAATGTTTTTTTCCCCCCTTGTTAACTATAGTATGGTTGCCTTAACTTAACCTACTGTATGAGACTATAATAGTGTATAGCCATCTTTTCCTGTCATATTTGAGTGATGTTTTTAAATCCATTTGAAAATTAGCATCAGAGAAAACGGAACACCTGAAAAAATGCAACTCAGATATTTGTTTGGTAAGAATTTCTACTGTCTTTGAATGATAGAAAAGCCTCCTCAAAACTTTTGGTGTTTGGGATTTCCTTGCCTTGCACTTATTCTGATGTTAGAGGTACCCTTTACAAAAAGTTAAGTTTATGAGTTTTTTTAAAAGAGAATATGCTCATAATGCTATGGCATAAAGGGAGATAATAAAATATCATAGTACAGTTGATTGATAATCAAATGCATGACGTAAACAAATCTCAAATCAATTGTTTGTTAGTTTGCATATGGTCTAGTGGGATATATTTAAGGACATGGGCATGCATGCAAGCATAAATATTTTACTAATTATGTAAATGTTGTCAATTACATATAATGAATTGAATGGGATTATAACTACTGCACAACTAGTGTCTTCACATCTTTGTAAAATCCCTTTTAAATCTTTTTCAGGTTTAGAAGAAGGTATAGTTTATGAGATGAGAGTGGCAGCAGTCACTGTCAATGGGACTGGACCGTATTCATCATGGGTTCAAATGGTTGTTACAAAGAGTGGCACAGGTAAAGATTAATTGCTGTATTTTTACCAACTTTTATTACCAAATATTTTGTAATTTTATGGTGCTGTCTATACCTCTTGAGTGTAGCTAAATAATGGTTAATTGAAACAATTTTTGCCACGTCAAAATCTAACTTATTCTGGGTAATATTTTAACAAGCGTACACCAAAACATTGTGATTAGCTTAAAGAGTCCTAAACAATGGCAACTCAACCAATGACATGGTGTTATTTTCATTTTGGTGTACAAACAATGAAATTACCCACAATCCTATAGTTATGGAAATGGTCAAAAGTAAAAAAACAAAAATACCGAACTCCGAGGAAAATTCAAAACGGAAAGTTTGAATCAAATGGCAAAATGAAAAGCTCAATGATCAAACGAATGGATAACAACTGTCATATTCCTGACTTGGTACAACTGATCAGATCTAGTGTTCTGATGATGCCACTCATATGATGAAACATGTAGACATTATATAAATATAATCTAGCGGTATGACGTGGGTGTTGATGTCTTTATTTTCTATAATTAGATCTAGATTTTGTGCAATAAGTTGATATTTTTATGTCATACATTGGCGGATGGTGTCATGATAACTTTATTTGAGCAGACAATTTTCTATCAGAGAAATGCATTCAATATTACATTCCTGTTATACTTATGGATACACAATTCAATGAATAAAAGCCTGAAGGATTTATATGCACTCCAAAAGAGCGAGACCAGGTATGACAAACAGGGAAATCATCTCCTGCTATGCATGCGTCACTTGCCATGTGAATGAGGACTAAAAAATGTCAAGATAGGAATTGGACACCATCAGTAAATTTTGAAATCAGATGACTGTACAGGAATAATAAACATATTTACACTTTTGGTATTTAGCTGAATTTTGTCAGGAACTTGTGTGATTTTAAATAATGGCGGACAAATTTGCACACAAGTGTATTTACGTCTATTGTATTCATGTATAATATAAGATCTTGGATTTGAAAACATTTCTCTTGACAGATAAGACACAGACACATCCTATTGGTCAACCAATTCATGACAGAGATATATTAATAAACTTAACATAGATACCAGGATTAAAATTCTGTACGGCAGGCACTTGGTTCGTCTACAAAAGACTCATCAGTGACACTCGAATCAAAACTTTAAAAAGGCCAAATAAAGTACAAAGTTGATATATATTATAACATGTATAAAAAGGCTATGACAAAATTGTATTTTTTCAGTGATTGAGCAACCACCAGAACCTCCATCTAATCTGACAGCAGATCCTGTACCACTTGGTATAACTTTAATGTGGGCGTCGCCTCTAAACACCAGTATACCGGTCAAAGGTTATATAGTAGGTCATGGCAGATTTATCCCTGAGGTTTACAGAAAGATACTTGGACCATCTGTTTTTGAGTATACCATTACAGGGTTGAGTAAGCAAAAGTTTATCCGAGTTTAAGGTTATATAGTTGGTCATGGCAGATTTCTCTCTGAGATTTATACAAAGATACTAGGACCAACTGTTGAGTAAACCATTACAGAGTTGAGTAAGCAAAAGTTTATCAGAGTAAGAAATTTTTACTGACAAATTTGCTTCTATGACAATACAAGGTACTTGTTTAAACTTAACACAAATTTCTTATGATATGGTTGACACCAGAATTGAGATTAAAACATACATTCTTCTCGATAGATTCTATGGGATACAGCACCTAAGTAATTGTACATTTATAAAGTTTGTTTTAGGTTAGCCCTGTTTAACAAAAGCCAATTTTAAAGGTTTCTAAAACTTATATATTGTTAAAAAAAATAACTGTACTGATTTAACAAAAATATAATATTAAGATAAAAACTGTTTTGAAGATGATTAACAAAATGGAAAGTTTAAGATTTTGATTATATTGTTAGAGTTAAAAAACCCAGTTGGTCATTTAAAAAAAAGTATGGTATACTTACTGTTTTTCTATCAATCTTTACATAAACCAAAATATTCCAATTTGTGCTTTAATGAAATTTTTAAACCTTGCAATGCATGTTTTGATTTTAATGATTTCCACATTAGTAATTCTAAAGTTAAGGGCATTAGGATTACCACTCAGTATATCCATCTTACGGTCTGTCCCTTTTTAGCTCACCTGGCTCATCACTTGGCGTCCGGCGTCGTCCGTCGTCGTCCTTCGTCGGCGTTAACTTTTTACATTTTGAACTTATTCTAGAGAACCACTGAATGGAATGAAACCAAACATGGCATGAATGTTCCTTATGAGGTGCTGACCAAGTGTTGTTACTTTGTAGCGGATCCATAATCCAAGATGGCCGCCAGCGGGGGACTTAGTTTAATATAGGACCCTATGGGAAATACATACAAATGTCTTCTTTTAGAGAACCACTGAATGGAATGAAACCAAACATGGCATGAATGTTCCTTATGAGGTGCTGACCAAGTGTTGTTACTATGAAGCTGATCCATAATCCAAGATGGCCGCCAGCAGGGGACTTAGTTTAACATGGGACCCTAGGGGAAATAAATACAAATGTCTTCTTTTAGAGAACCACTGAATGGAATGAAACCAAACATGGCATGAATGTTTCTTATGAGGTGCTGACTGAGTGTTGTTACTTTGAAGCTGATCCATAATCTAAAATGGCCGCCTGCAGGGGACTTAGTTTAACATGGGACCCTATGAGAAATACATACAAATGTCTTCTTCTAGAGAACCACTGAATGGAATGAAACCAAACATGGCATGAATGTTCCTTATGATGTGCTGACCGAGTGTTGTTACTTTGAAGCCGATCCATCATCCAAGATGGCCGCCAGAGGGGGACTTAGTTTAACATTGGACCCTACGGGAAATACATACAAACGTCTTCTTTTAGAGAACCACTGAATGGAATGAAACCAAACATGGCAAGAATGTTCCTTATGAGGTGCTGACCAAGTGTTGTTACTTTGAAGCTGATCCATCATCCAAGATGGCCGCCAGCGGAGGACTTAGTTTAACATAGGACCTATGAGAAATACGTACAAATGTTTTCTTTTTAAGAACCATTGAATGGCATGAAATCAAACATGGCATGCATGTTCCTTTTGAGGTGCTGACCAAGTGTTGTTACTTTGAAGCTGATCCTTCATCCATGATGGCTGCCAGATGGGGACAATGTTTAACAAAGGACCCTATAGACAATACATACAAATGTCTTCTTTTAGAGAACCACATACTGAATGGATTGAAACCAAACATGACATGAATGTTCCTTATGAGGTGCTGACTAAGTTTTGTTACTTTGAAGCTGATCCTTCATCCATGATGGCCGCCAATGGGGGGACTTCCTTTAACATAAGACCCTATGGGAAATACATACAAATGCTTCTTCTAGAGGTGCTCTGAATGGAATGAAACCAAAACCTGGCATAAATGTTTCTTATGAGGTGCTGATTAAGTGTTGCTACTTTGTTGCCTATTTACTGTTTAAGATGGCCACCAGGATTTTTTATTAAATTACAGGACCAATATTAAACCAAATTTAGCCTCACTCATTATTAGGGTATCTGTTATGATTTTAATCTATTTTTACATGATTTCCAAAACCAAAGTAAAATCAGGTGAGCGACACAGGCTCTTGAGAGCCTATAGTTTATTAAAGTGATAAATCATGGTATATTTATTTCAGGACCAAACGCACAGTATATTCTGACTGTCCGATCATTTAACAGTTTTGGAGAAAGTAAGCCAGCTTTTTTGAAAGCTAAATCAGGTATGAGTTAAAGCTATTGTATATAGATATAACATTTACCATCTAAAGGAGTTAGAAAAGAGATCAGAGGATAAGGATTTCTAAAGAAATTTAGTTCTAATCTCATCTTGTATAGCATCAAGTATGGGTAAGATATACATGTATTTACTCCAAGAAAGTATTGTATTCCATGGAAGAGTCATGCATTTGTGTAGCTAGTTGTTGACATAAAAAAGAATAACTGCAATTTTTGTCTTGCCTGCAACGACATATGCGAGACATAGGTATTACTATCTGTCGGCGGCGGCAGTGGAAACTATTTGTATAAAGCTTTATTTTTCAGAAGGTAGAAGACCTGGATGCTTCATACCTTGTATGCAGGTACCTTATGTTACGAGGTTTCCGTCTGTCATATGCCCATTGTCCTTGACCTCATTTTCATGGTTCAGTGACTGCTTGAAAAAAAATTACAGTTTTTTTGTCATGTGATTTTCTCACTTATTATGAGTAATAGGATAACTATATTTGGTATATTGGTTCCTTGTAACGTCTACATATCCGTCAGCAGGGTTAATCTGACCTCGACCTCAATTCATGGATCAGTGATCAAGGTTAAAGTTACGTGATTAGGTCCATTTCTCAGATACCACAAACAGCAGGTCAACTGTATGTGGTGTATGGAATGATTGTAAGGGGTACATGCCAGACTGGCAGGTTTCATCGGACCTTGACCTCATTTTCATGGTTCATTAGTCATTGTTAATTATTTGTGTTTTGGTCTGTTTTTCAAGTACTATAAGCAATAGGTCAACAATATTTGGTGTATGGAATGATTGTAAGGTGTACATGTCTGTCTAGCTGGTGTCATGACTTACCTTGACCCCATTTCCATGGTTCATTGGTTAACATTAATATAAGTTTTTGTGTTTTGGTCTGTTTTTCAATTACCATAAGTAATGGGTCAACTATATTTGGTGTATGGAATAATTGTAAGGTGTACATGTCTGTGTGACAGTTTTTATCTGACCTTGACCTCATTTTCATGGATCTTTAAAAATGTTAAGTTTATGTGATACTTGTAGTAAAACTTTTATCTTTAAGACTTTCAACATAAGTCAATGGTCAGTAAAACAGGCGAGACATTTCAGCATGTGCACTTTTGTTATTTCTAATAACTTGAGTTTTTTTATGCACTACAAGGTTATTTTGGAAATGAGAAAATTGATGGCAACATTATTATTTCCCATAAAAAGTATGAATACGATAGTTAACTGTCTTGAAAACATTAAACACTGACTGTAAATTCAGAAATTATTGCAAGGTTTTTATTAATGTGAATAATGCGACTGAATGAGTATTGCAATAATAAGAACTGGCATTCTTATATCTGATACATATTACTGTATGCATATTTTCCTGAAATCACAATAGTTGATCTCGCATTTTAGTCCATTCAGCAAAAAACACAATGATAAATGCACGTAATTTCTGAAAATATACAGTAACCAAAAAAAAAACCAGCAAAATTTTTGTATAAAGACAATTACATAGTAACATAGGATAATTTGCAAACAATTCTAATCTCTTATATCTAGCTAATCATACTTTTTAATTTTATTGTCACAATTTAGGAAAAAGACAACAGAACAATTATGAAATAACTACAATAGTTGCAACTACCCCAGAAACAACTCCAGGTAGGTGATCTCAAACTGGCCGAAGAGCAGAAGGACCTTTTTGGGGAGTTATGAATTGAGCCATTTAATCATTGGAATTTTGAAATAGACAGTTAAATCATCAGGAATGCAGGATTCCGAATTTAATTATATCTTGATGTTGGAATAGACACATTATTTTCACGGAATTCAGAATTTAATATTTATTATCTCAGGAATAAGGAATGAGACCCTCTCCTAACTCTTTCCCAGGGCTTCCAAAATTATTTTTAGCCAGCTGGACATTTTATATATTATCCCGATTTTAATCCCTTAAGACTAAATAAACAAAAGGCAATTATGGTAATCAGTTGTCGAGTTGGCCATCCCAATGATTGACATTAAAAAAAAACGATATTAAACTTTCTTTGATTCAAATTCGAAGTTCTGATGTAAACTGTTAAATTGGCAGTGCATCATTGGAAGTGTGCAACATCAACGTACTTATATCTGCCTTTGACTCTTTATTTGTGCAAAATAACGTTGTATGCCCATTGTCCTTGACCTCATTTTCATGGTTCAGTGACTGCTTGAAAAAAAAATTACAGTTTTTTTGTCATGTGATTTTCTCACTTATTATGAGTAATAGGATAACTATATTTGGTATATTGGTTCCTTGTAACGTCTACATATCCGTCAGCAGGGTTAATCTGACCTCGACCTCAATTCATGGATCAGTGATCAAGGTTAAAGTTACGTGATTAGGTCCGTTTCTCAGATACCACAAACAGCAGGTCAACTGTATGTAGTGTATGGAATGATTGTAAGGGGTACATGCCAGACTGGCATTTAATATTTATTATCTCAGGAATAAGGAATGAGACCCTCTTCTAACTCTTTCCCAGGGCTTCCAAAATTATTTTTAGCCAGCTGGACATTTTATATATTATCCCGATTTTAATCCCTTAAGACTAAATAAACAAAAGGCAATTATGGTAATCAGTTGCCGAGTTGGCCATCCTATTGATTGACATTAAAAAAAAAACGATATTAAACTTTCTTTGATTCAAATTCGAAGTTCTGATGTAAACTGTTAAATTGGCAGTGCATCATTGGAAGTGTGCAACATCAACGTACTTATATCTGCCTTTGACTCTTTATTTGTGCAAAATAACGTTGTCAAAAACTTTACTCTCGTTTTTTAAATCTAATACTGGATGTTATCTTGACAATGGTAAAACATGGACCAGAGACCGTTATGTAAATTCCGTGTACGTTTGCAAAGCATGAATGAGTGTAAGTAGCTCTTTCTACGTTATTTCTTCAAGAAAATATTCAAAATAAACATGAGATAAAGGTATCAATGACAATTTAAGCATTTTTTGAAGAAATTAGGATACATAATTAAATTTCACACCTGCGCACATGCGCACACGTGTACTAGTTCAAACAAACGTGGTTATGACGATTTTTCAATTTCACCATTTTAATTTTTTTCATCAAATAATATTTGTAAACATATTTCTGATAATTTAAATCTTTTTGACTAAATTAATTAGATGCAAACCGCTGAAATGTAAGAAAATAACTTTGAATAGACCAATCAATGTCTGGTTCAAAATAGTTTACCTGTCACTTGAACAGGTAAATTTCAGCTGTTCGACAACTAATTAGCCTTGATTAGAATGGGAAGGTATTAAAGTAGGGGTTGTTTTGATAGTACTTAATGATCACGTCACTTTTATGACCAGAAATGTGTGGCTGTTAAAGGCAAAAGGTTGGGTCAAAAAGATCGCGAATTATGTTAAAATGACCGTCTCTTAAGAAAGCCTTGGAACTAAAGAGTAGATGACAGTTTCATGCTTTGCCCAGCCGGACTTTTACCGGACATTATACAAATATCCGGAATATATGACGGTTTTGGAAGCCTTGCTCCTACCCCCTCCCCACCCCCTATTGTTTGTGTGCTTGTCACATGGGCTGTAACCTGGAGTTAAGAGTATTGCATCTCAATAAAAGCAAGTTCCTAATGCTTAGGAAAAAAAGGAGATGTGGGATATACATAAATATGACCGGATTATATGACGGTTTTGGAAGCCTTGCTCCTACCCCCTCCCCACCCCCTATTGTTTGTGTGCTTGTCACATGGGCTGTAACCTGGAGTTAAGAGTATTGCATCTCAATAAAAGCAAGTTCCTAATGCTTAGGAACAAAAGGAGATGTGGGATATACATTAATATGACAGGATCTAAACTGCCATATAGTTAAAAGACATCTAGAAGGCAACATACAGTTTTCAATAAAAGAATTCTTCATACAATATATCAATATCTAATTCTAAGTTAGTTGTGAATACATTTAACAATCAAAGCCTTAAAGGCTGTAAAAGCAATTGCTGCCATGTTAATGTTTTGGGGACTTTTATTTTTCATCCACATATATATAAGAATTAAACCTGACAGGAGTGTTGTCTAGTGAGAAGTAAGAAGGTTTTAACTTTATATCAATAAAAGACTTTAGCAGAAAGTCATTTTTAATATGTTTTATATTTCACAAGGAGACAATACGTTTACCAGGCTAAAGTTGGGGTCAAATTTACATGTGCTGAAACATATAACTCAAAAAGAAATTATCCCCTGGTAGTGTTTGTAACTGGGCAATAATTTCCTTAATTGATTTAATTTTAACAATTATCATAATTAATTTAAATTTAACCATTCAATTAAAACATTTCAACTTTCCAGACGCAAATGTTGAAAAACGGGAAAGAAATAAAATATCTTACTAGACATAAACATGTAAAAAATAAATATATATTTCAGCTTACTAAAAATATTTTCATAATGTTACTTTGTCTTCATTTCTTAAAACTAAGTCCCAAACATTATTGCTCAGTTGATATTTGTCATCCTCATGCGGTACGAGATAACTATAATTCTCATGCAATCATTAAATCGTCATTATACGAACAAGAACAAACAGCTCTTCGTTGCTTTGATATTTATCAATTTTCAGTATTTCAATATTTCGAAAACATGTGAAATAAAATTGCAAACGGTGGACCGTCGAGTGTCAACACACGTAGTAGACTCGTCCACTGGAAAGACGAGGATAATGGTTTCATCATTTGTCATGCATACCCAGTTTTGATTATGATATCCAAAAGGACGTACTTTTTTTCAATCTATGAAACTAGAAAATTCCAAATTTTAATATCTCTTCATCTGGACTTGGCATCTATCACGTTTTGACGGGTCCATTTCATTAGTAAGGTGATCGATAAATCTTACGTAGTTATGACAAAAAAGGAAAACGAACTTATTGTTATGTGTTTTTAACAAGGGTTTCGTTCTGCTAAATTATTTGCGCAAACAAATCAACAAAATAGGTCAGTTAGGTTTATCTATTTTTAGATTACAGGTAATCATTTGACACTACCTATAACCTGTGTAGTGATTTTGATTTTACGATAAATTTATGAATGAACGATAATTTTATGAATGAACAAGACTTAGAGCACCTGGCCTCTTTCTTAGAGAAACACCAATTAAACATATGAAACCGCATTTAATAAGAGATAATTCAGTAAAATTTTCAATACTAAATCAACAACTGAAATGATTCCATATTTTGCTGAAACATCGTACGAAAGGAGAACGGAATCGCAGGTATAAAAATGCACTTTTTTTCACTCGGACTTCTATGTTTTTTGATAGTCAAACGGTTGTCCCCCTAAATACAAAAATACATCTACAAGAACATATGCTGAAACCTCTTAAATCCACTGACATTTTTCAAAAGTTTCAAGCTATGTATTGCATTAGAAAACATACATAGGTGTTTAAGAATGACAGACCAGGAGCCTGTTTAACAAAATACTATGGCTTGATCTGGGCGGAGTCTCTGATTTGTGTCACAAAGATGGCCATACACGATGGCATAAAAGCAATTGCTTTAAAAACAATATCAAATCTGCCATCAACCCCAAATTTCCAAAATAGCAAAAGAAATATCAAGAGATGAAAAAAGACAACTACTGACAAGGTCCATTTTCTGATTATTTTTAATTTTTTTATGACAGCAAGGGCTCTCTGGATTGTTAAACATTTTCTTTATTGGCTGAATCGGCTTGCCACTTTTATCATAATTCTTCAAAATCCTTCTTTTATACTATAATGTTTTTGTTGATATCATTTATTAATTTTTAATGTAGTACTGATAATTTTTTATTACAGGTCAATAAGCCAATGTATTTTGGTGTAAATCTTGATTATAAAATAAAACGATGTAGTATAATTGCCAATAAGACAACGATCCAACAGACACCAAATGACATAAGAGTTAACAGCAATAGGTCACCATACAGCCTTCAACAATGAGCAAAACCCATACGGCATAGTCAGCCATAAAGGGCCACTGAAATGACAAATGTAAAACAATTCAAATTAGTCAATTTTAATCCTGGTATTTATGATGAGTTTATTAACTTAAGAGTGGAAAATGAATTGTCTAACAATTGCTCCTTGCAAATATCCGGAGTAGATCCATGTTTTTTTTATAGGGGCATTGTTTTGATATTTGATGAAAAAAAATTGGCATATTTTCATATCTTCGTCATTACAAAAAATGGCACTTGAAATTTTGTTATTGAGCACCTTGTATCGGCCCCCAGTTCTAACCATTCTAATAATCTTATTATTTCTAGTTCCAGGAGCACCATATGACGTCAGGATTAAGGAAAGAGGAGAAGAGGTTCCAACAGTACTGGTTACATGGAAAAGACCAAACATCAAAGAGCATATAAAAGGTTACTAAAAAATCTGTGAGCAGAGCTTACAATTGTAACTCATTCTCTAATCACAGCTATATGATCTTTTAGGAGAGAATAGTCTGTAGCTAATCATGGGGTAAACATGCTGCTGACAATATAAAAATAAGAAGATATATAACTGCCAATGAGACAACTTTCCACCAGCTACCAAATGACATAAAGGTTAAAAACTTTAGGTCACCATACCGTCTTCAACAATGAGCAAAACCCATACCACATAGTCAGTTATAAAAGGCCCTGAAATGACAAATGTAAAACAATTCAAATGAGAAAAATAACAGCCTGATTTATGTAAAAAACAATGAATGAAATACAAATATGATATACAGCAACAAACGACAACCACTGAATTACAGGCTTCTGTCACTTGGGACAGGCACATTCAACATGTGGCAAGGATTAAACATGTAAGCAGGCGTCCAACCCTCCCCTTAACCTGGGATAGTGGTGTGACAGTACAACATATAAACAAACTATAAAAATCAGTTGAAAAGGGCTTAACTCATCAGACCGATACAAAGCAGAAAAACAAGTAACAAAATCACAGACTGGATGTGGCAGGGTATTTATACATCCCTACATGCTAAAGTATATATTGTATATATATAACTTAACTAAACATTCTACATGTTATATGTTTGGCTTGTGGCATCTTAGTACAAAGTAAAGCATACAAATGCTTCATTTGCTCAAGTTACTGATCAAAGGGAGATAATCAAAGTTTTTATCACAGCTTTTGTTGATTAAAACATATTTTGTTTTTGGAGAGGTTGAATTGGGAGAATGTAGGGACAGTGAATTAGGTCAGATATTTTGGAATGTCTGTTTTGGTTAGCTGGGGTTATTTGGATATGTAAACCACCTCTAAAATTGATTAACTGATATTTTTATACTTTAGGGTATATTTTTTTGCAATTGATATATTTTTTCACAATGAATTTAATTGATGATGATGAATGGCTGCTTAACGTCCAGCAGCAAATTAAAATATGCATATTCAGGACGAGAACATGCTAATGTAATATGAATATTAACCCTGCTTTGTACTAGACCAATACGCTGAGCCAGATTTTTAACATGCTAGTTCACAAGGTAACAGTCCGCAGGAATACATGTCACCTTACCCAGACATATTATTCTGACTCCGAGCCAACCAGTCCTTGCTCTTACTCCTTAATGCCTTGTGCTTAGTTGAGATGCAGCAAATACCAATTTTAAAGTCTTTGGTTAGACCTGGCTGTGGTTCTCATCCACAATCTCCCGCACTCGAGTCGAACATGCTGCAACGAGACCACCTAGGCGGTCAATAAATTTAATTGAAATTGATGTTTTATATTTTAGGATATATTATATATATAATGATATTTTACATTCCACAAATATGATATTTATATTTCACAATTGATTTAGGATATATTTTATTGCATTTGATGTTTAAGTTTTGGATATATTTTATGCAGTTGGTATTTTATATTTCAGGATGTATTTTCTTGTAATATTGATATTTATTTTATTTTAGGATACATTTTACTGTACACAAACGACAGCTCTCTCCCTATTCACCAGTGGACTGGAGTATATGAGAGATCATTACAATACATTATAAAGAACTTAGCTTTCAATACAACATACTTCATACGGATACAGTGCCAGCTTGATGATAGATCTGGCATTATGTCAAAAATTATATTCTTCACTACAAGATCAGTTGGTAAGACCTTCAGATTAAATTTATACATCAGTTGTTAAGTAAGCCCTTAGGTCAAAGTGGGAGGTGGGATGAGACAACCTTTTTGGCCCCTTGAATTTGAAAGTGAAAGAGTATTTTAAATCTACTAAATAACATTCTTTAGATGTGTATAAGACATAGAAAATGAAAGGACATGGAGTAAATGTATATGGGAAAAAATCGCACACAATACATAGAAAACATAGAAAATTATCAATGAACAGGGCTTTTATTCCTGTTCTTCATCTTGACAGTTGATGTAGGGTCTTCAACAATGAACGAATCATTTATACCCTACAACAAGGTCAAGACAGCCCCTAGCGTCGACTTAAGCAGTACTATTGATAAAAATAAACCACAGTTCACCTTCTTGCTCCCTACCCGCCTCGGAGTGCCAACTTGTGCGATGCTTGTGTACAACGGTTCTCCAGTCGAAAGCACCAGGGATACAAGAAAAGTGCAATAATTTTGAAAGACATCGATCGCCACTAAAATATGCCTTGAAGTTACACATGTCGGGAGCGGTCAATGAATTACATAATTTATAATTACGGGCGAGGTTTTTCAACATATATTTGTCATACATTGCCCAACAAAAGACCAATAATTTCGAAACAACAAATGATAGACAATACATATAAAACTAAAAAAACAAATGATAGACAGCACGGGACACATCGAAATATATGTAAGAAAACCTAGCAGTTTAAAATAGTATGAAAGGGCAATATACAAAACAGATGACCTGACCAGTATTTTGAAGAAATTTAACCAAACATGAAATTTTGACGGTGTATTTTTTTTTCTATGATAGAGGAAATAAAGTTATATAAGTGGGCGGTAATTTTTAACTGATTTTGCCAAATAAGGTTGTTGTTATTTTATGAATGAAACGAGGTCATGAAGCAGATGCGGAAATCGACGTCGATGGGATGTTTAAAGTAATGTGGACAACTCGTCCCCGAGACAAGTCGGACCGAATCCACTCAAACCGTCTAAGAAGACAACTTTGACCGTTTGTCAGATATACTTAGGGTTTCATAAAATATTAGACTAACATGTCTAGCAGAGCCATTAATCTTTTGTTTGTGCATTGGGGTCTATTTAGGGGTATTTGGAGGGGCCTGAAGAAGGGAGGAGTTTACTATAGAACCCTATGGGATTTTATTTTTTTAAATTTTCAAATGACTATTTCTCAAAAACAGTAAGTGATAGACACATGCAGTCTTCAGTAATGAGAACAAGACAATAAAAAAAATCAACCAAAATATAGGGTGAGTCCCTGGGGGTCATCCCAACCCCCTTCAATTTGAAAATATACATTTATCTTGTAAACCATCGCGATCCCCACCCCTAAACAATATATATACTTGTAAGGGACAATAAAAGAAATCAAATGAAAATAATTTGGGGGAGTCCCCAGTGTCGTCCCACCCCCTCCTGTTTGAGAACTTGGAAGTGGTCGAGATCCCACCCCTTAACCATATATATTCATGTATGGGACAATAAAACAAATCAAATGAAATATATGGGGAGTCCCTGTGGTCACCCCACCCTTTCCTGTTTGAGAACTTGTAAACAGTCAAGATCCCCACCCCTCAACCATATACATTCATGTATGTGACAATATAACAAATCAAATGAAATATATGGGGAGTTCCTCGGGTCACCCCACCCCCTCCTGTTTGAAAACTTGGAAATGGTCGAGATCCCCACCCCAAAACCATATATATTCATGTATGGGACAATAAAACAAATCAAATGAAATATAGGGGGAGTCCATGGGGTCACCCCACCCCCTCTTGTTTGAGAACTTGTAAACAGTCAAGATCCCAACCCCTAAACCATATATATTCATGTATGGGACAATATAACAAATCAAATGAAATATTTGGGGAGTCCCTGGGGTCACCCCACCCCCTCCTGTTTGAGAACTTGGAAATGGTAGAGATCCCCACCCCTGAACCATATGTATTCATGTATGGGACAATATAACAAATCAAATGAAATATAGGGGGAGTCCCTGGGCTCACCCCACCCCCTCCTGTTTGAGAACTTGTAAACAGTCAAGATCCCCACCCTAAACCATATATATTCATGTATGGGACAATATAACAAATCAAATGAAATATATGGGGAGTTCCTCGGGTCACCCCACCCCCTCCTGTTGGAAAACTAAGAAATAGTCGAGATCCCCACCCCTAAACCATATATATTCATGTATGGGACAATAAAACAAATCAAATAAAATATAGGGGGAGTCCATGGGGACACCCCACCCCCTCCTGTTTGAGAACTTGTAAATGGTCGAGATACCCACACCTAAACCATATTTATTCCTGTTCATCATTTCAAAAAGATTTGAATATGAACTGGACTTTGCCCAATGTCAGGAGACCATGGGAATGACAAATTATGGGGGCTTTGTTTGGGAGACTTCCTAACGGCATCCTATTACAATTATTTCTTGTTTATTATAAAATTTTATTGATGCAAAAAAATTAGTCTAGGTTAATTGAATTTACTTCAATTATTTATTAAATTATTTCTGGGCCTATAATAATTTTCATTTATGGCCCATTTTAAAGAAAACATATAAATCTTTCAAGCAGTGGAAAGCCCGAGAATGTTTGACCAACTGTTTTATAATCACCTGTCATTTTAATCCAAACTTGGTATGGAGTAACATCATGCACTTGGGGGTGAAGATGGGGGGTCATTTACATTGATATATGAGTTGCTTTTGAAAACCTTGATGAAATATTAATTAATTTGCCTTAATAATCAATTCATTTAATGAACATAAATGTACAATATACGAATATTTAATGTTTGTTCTTTCAAATCTTAAAAAAATTGAAGCAACACTGCCACAGTTTTCATAATTACGTTTGCCTTGGTTTTTGGTTAACTGCCTACAGCGCTTACAGCACTTTGATTGATGTTATTTCTTCATAGACAGAAAAAATATTAGTCATTCCTTAAATAAATTATTTTTTAAACTTGATAACAAACTTAAGTAGAGGTTAGGTATAAGATAATGTTTAGTGCAAAAACTATGGTATGATTATAATTAAATGAAAGGATCTAAGATTTGAACATTTATTTTTGATGATTGAACAAAACTAAACCAAAACCATGAATATCATGATAAGTAACACTTCAAATACCTTAAACAAATTTTGGATCTATTTTCATGTTGTTTTTATTATGTTTTGATGGATTTTAAGCCCATGTGATTGGTTCCTCAGAGTGTCCTTTTGATTTATAGACTTATTGTTTATTAACATGATTATGCACAGATTGTATTTGTAAGCCAGGTGAGCAGAAGTTTTTGTCTTGAATATTGTTAAAGTGAATTCAAACATTATTATTGTTATTCTGTTAACCCCCCTTTTTTATGGATACTTTATTTCACATTAAGTCCTTTCTGGCTGATTCACACAGCAATTTATTCTCACGATTTTCTTAGTTTAAACAGTATAACAATGAAGTAGTACAATTTAACATAAAATTCAAATATAGGATTAGGAAACAAGTTTGGAAAAACTTTTATAAATCCGTCTCACGATTTTCTTATTTTCTTTAATGTATTTGTTATTTTACTTCTTGTAAAAGTCACAAAATAAATTGCTCGCAAACATCAGTTAGTTTACAGTTTATGATTTATATTTTCATGTTTTCAGACAAATCCAAAGATACATTACCTAACCCTAAAATTATGAGTGCATTTTCTGGGTCCGATTACATACAGATAACATGGCAGCCACCAGACTATGCTTACATCATACGTGGTTATATTCTGGGGTATGGTATACAGCAGCCAGGAGAATATCAGGAAATGTTACCGTTCAGTGAAACTACATTTAAGATTAAAAAACTTGGTAGGTGCTGTGCTACTTTTGTTTAAGATTCCTGCTCCTTTTTTACTAAAAGAGAGGCGAAAGATACCAAAGGTACATTCAAACTCATAAGTCGAAAAAACAAACTGAGAATGCCATGGACAAAAATGAAAAATGAACAAATATCAAAATACAACATAGAAAACTAAAGAAAGAGCAGCATGAACATAAAACTAATATAAAAGACAGTCTGAATATTTAAAATCACCTAATAACTATTTATTGTTCAAATGACTTTACTACTACATATTTCATTTGAGGATATGCAGCCATATTTGTAACTATTGAATGAAAGTTTGCTCTAAAGGAGTTTTTGTGAAAATATAATTTAGATACACAGGTATAACGAAATTCAGGAAAATATATCAACATTAAGTTTTTAAAGTTCATACAAAATATAATTGGATTCAATAACTGTTTATAGTTTAAACAAACTTTTATTCTCCAACCTCTGCAGCCCCACAGTTCATTTGATTATATTCTCAGGCGTGAAATTTTAGCCATTTGTGTGGAAGCATCCACTAACAGTCTTACTCTTCAGTAAATGGTTTGCTTTGATTATTTTGTGAATTAAATAACATAGTTGCCCCAGTGAACATTCATCAAACAAAAATCAACCAGCCGAATATATTGTATCTTATTCATGGTAATATGTCGACGCACACGAAGAAAGTTGAAGACCATTGAAAAATTAAAAACACAGATGCACATATACTGTAAACATTGTTTTGGATTATTTCACAATCACATGAAATGGACAAAAGTATCCAAAGTCTTTTTGTAGAAATTAAATGAAATTGATACATTTCGCTTATTTCACATGAAATGCACAGAAACATCCACAGTGCAATTTTTTTTTCTTTGTAGAAATTAAACTAAATTAATGTATAAGGTATAAGTGGTCAATACACAAATGTAGTCCCGCATACAAAGATCTACAAAGTTTATGCATTGAAATCATGAAAATGTCAATCTTAGTATTTATTCACGTTTACAATCTGATGCTGTTTTTCTGGAGTTAAAAAGTTGTATTGTTATGCTTACTGTCAAGGGATTACATTGTGTAAAAGATTCATTAGTAATACATGCATACTTTAAATGTTGACAAAAAGTAAAACCATCAAGTTAACATCTTGTGGTAGCTTGATCACCTTTAGAGCAAGAGGTAGTGAATTCATTCCTAGGTCCAATTAAACCAAAGACTTGAAAATTGTAATTTGCTGCATCTCTGCTACATGTATTTAGGAGTAAGGGTAAAGGCTGGTCAGTCATAAGACACACTAATGTTTCTAGGTATTGTAATCTTTATTTTCTGTTTCAGCTCCGGAAACAGTGTATCATATATCATTAAGAAGTTTTGGTGAATTCGGTGAGAGTGAGAGAGCTGTTCTCTCTGTTACTACAACAGGTAATAATAATTATCATTGAACTTACTGAAACATGCTAAAATACAACTATGCTGCAACAGAAGAACAAACTCTGATTGGTTGAAAAACATTGAGGATACAAAGATACCAATGGGCAAAACTATTGTTTGCAGCTGTATTTTTCTGCTACTTAATTTTAAAATTTAAACTTATTTACATAAATGCTGCTATTTCTCTCAGTCTTACAAGTAAAAATGAATTGTATATAGTCTGGCAATTTGGTAGGAGTAATTTTTGAAATTTGAACAGAAGTGTTTTATGACCAAATGACAGTATCCAGAGCAAAATTTTTATAATATCTTAATTTTCCGTATTTTACTGATAATACGGTTTATCTCGTATATAAGATAAACCAATTTAATGAAAGAGAATTGATTAATGCATCATTCGGATCCGTATCTTGTTTCCGGCTAATCAACGTCACATGACTCTTCAGCCTTACATTGAACTAGCCACTTTTGTAGATATGTGAAAGTTTCAAAAAGGCAATCGTAAAAAATCAATGACATCCGCATGTCATATTCCAATATTTCGATATGAAACTACTGAAGAGGCCTGGTAATCCTCCAAGAAAGGATTTTCCACAGCCAGGACCAGCAAATGAAGAAATAAAAAGGCAAACAGAGACCACTTGATCTGGTGCCATCAAAACGAGGAACACTTCCAGCTTATTCCGACATGTATGGATGTGTAAAGATCATAGAACAATGTAATTCAAGTATCTTCGCCAAAAAATGTATACAATGTATCAAGGACAGGGACAGCTTCCAATTTGTCAGTGGCTCATGGACCAGTGATCAATATCATGGCAGACCCAAATCATCAGGAGCCCCCATTTATTCGATTCAGGATCCAGCAAGAGACACCACAAGGAAAAATAAGACACAACGAGGAAAACAGTTCAAGGAGAATTTCTGATCCATTGAATTCACAACCTGGTCCCAGCGGTTTGCAGATTTCGTCAAACAATAATCTTGGTATGTTGAATTTATCTAATCAATTTAATTCACCAGTCCTGAGCTTTTTCTAGTTCGTTTAATACTCGTTTGCAACTTTTTATATTTAAAGTGTTTTCGATCCTATCTCATCTTGCATTCTGGTAAAAAAACACTTGTCAAAAAAAATAGGGAACAGTGAGTTCATTGACCTGAATATACATACTTTTAAAATCTACTCTGGACCTTGTAAACAAGAAAAAAATTAATAAGAGGGTGGTGTTTTGTTCATAGACATAGTTATTAAAATTGGTATTTATCAATTGACAGCTCATAATAAATAATAATAAATCTCATATTAAAACAATTATTTATTATAATTATTTAATGTCACTTATTTAATTTACTATGTATGGATTTAGCAATGAGCATTATGATTGCACTATTTATGTACAAATATTCTATATCACCAGTCGTTAGTAATACACACGTAGCTCTATTGTACACATGAGTCATGATACACACAAGGGCAATAAGTGCAAATTTCATCACACTCATCTAAATTAACGTTACCACTTAGTCTATTTATTTTAGTATGATAATGCTAAAATCGTTTTTTAATATTATCATTGAAATCATCACTTATACATAACATATAGGAACACAGCAGTAAAAAGTTATCTTACTAGGTTAGTAACCTAGTAACCGTTACCAACAATTAAACTTTAAATTATTTTCTTTTTAAATATACACTTAGTGTTAGATGGTTCGGATGACGTAGTGAATGAAATACACTAATTAACAGAATTTCCATTCAGACTGAGAATACAAATGACGAATTTTGTGGCGGATGACGCTATGGCATTAGAATATATCCAATCAGAGTCAATGGCTTAGATTTATGTTTACATGTGTAAATTCTTTGTACCATTGATAAGTCTTATACATATCTCTTTAATAGTGTTGATAAACATAGTTCGGCATTATTAGTGTACATAATTTATGCCGTCAGTTTTCTCGTTTGACTTATTTTACATTTTACATTTCGGGCCCTTTTATAGCTCACTATGCGGTATGGATTTTGCTCATTGTTGAAGGCCGTACGATGACCTATAGTTGTTAATTTCTGTGTCATTTGGTCTCTTGTGAAGAGTTGTCTCATTGGCAATCATACCACATCTTTTTTATATTGAGCACATATGATATACATACTTTTCATCTCTTAAATAGAGTTGATATAATTATACAAGCAAAACAGAGTTGATATCTTCAAAAGAGACTTCAACATATATTATTACTATTGGTATAGGTTATTAAGATAGCTGACAAAAACTCATCTAACGTTGTTCTGGATAAGATTATATATATATATACAAAACAAACACTGAACTTCCGGAACAACAGCATAATATGCTATGAATGAATTTAATACGAACATACGAATATCAGACACTATTCATGCAATGATAAAACAATTACACAAGAAAGAATCTATCGACGACATACCATATAAATACCTTACCAACAATGCGAAAATACGAATTGGACGACTCTATATGTTTCCAAAAAAAAAATCACATTATTAATCATGAAGATAGACTACTTCCTTAAACCAGTAGTTAGGCAATTATGGACTCATACACAGGACACAATTCATTTATCAACAAAATAGAACAAATAAGGGAATTATGTGCACTTTTGATATTACTGATAAGAACAATTACTTAATTAACTCACGAAGCAATAGACAGAGCCTGGTACAAAATATGCGATAATTAATGTCATTGTATATAATGTATATAGTCTTTTTGATTTTGATTCATCATTTTTTACAAAAGCGTAATAGCACAAACGCATTCTATATGTCACACACTGAGTATCAACATAAAAGTAAATGCTATCTCAATTATTTAACTCTAAAAATGTTAACATTGATGATACCAGCACGTTTGTATTTTATTATCACATTTACTTTTAAGAAATGTAACTCAAATACATTTTCAAAATGGGTTTTCCCACAACATTTTTTAGTAACAAAACAAATATGCGGTAATACACATGAAATACCTCTACCACTAATTATATACATGTAAATGATAAGGACTTCTTTTACAGACAAACAGGTGTAATCCAAATGGGAGCCTCAATAACCCCTTCCCTGGTTGATTTAAGAATTTTTAAATTATTGCAAGTACTCTTGATTTATTTCCTTTTAAGGAACATTTAGCACTATTATCTATATACAGAGCTGATGGATTCATTCTTTTCAATCCTAGTCGGAATTGATCAACATTACATATAATATAAACCCGTTTATGGAAGTCACACATGAAATTTCACTCTAGCACCTAGTTCCTTGACGTCATAATTTTCAGAGGTAACAGATTTCTAAACCAAAATATATAAGACGTAAAACTATACAAGTTTGAGCTTTTTAAAAAGCTGCACGGACTGCTTAGCTGTATCCCAATTTAAGGTAATATGTGCTAAATAAAACGAATTTGAATTATTGACAGTTGGTTGGAACTGAAATACACATAGTTAATTTTCCGGGATTTGATGTCTTGTCCTGAGACGAGAAAAGTCTGTAATTCTTTATCTCATTTAAGCCAATTGCTGTTGATGTATCTCAGCCACATAACAAAACAACCAATCAGAATCTATATGTGATAAGTATAATTATTTCAAGATGGCGTGTTTGTCGACTGAAACTAATAGCTCCGCACCTCATGTGAAGCAATGATATATCGTAAACCTATTGATAATTTGCTGTCGGTTTTCAATGGATTCATTACTGTTGAAATATTGCGTTTTATGGTGTCATCAAATATATATCATGGATGATACAACAAATGAAGTTTAAACGTCAAAACAAAACTTCTTCTGAGGGGATATCATGAAAGGGCGACAACCCCATTATAACAAAGGCATTACAAAAGGAAAGAAAAGATTGTCTAAAATACAAACGTATTAACAAAAGAGTAATGCCTCTATTCATGCTATCAGTTAGTTCACTTGAATGGACTTTCTAATAGGGGGAAAAGGTGGGGGCGGGGGTTCTGATGAGTGTGTATAGACCCACTCAAGTGGCAGGATTAAGGGGTTATGATCCTTTCAAGTATTGTATGTCGGATCATATTAGGTTTTTACTTTCCTGCGGTACCACAGGAAGTTATGTTAAGACCATCTCATGTATATACCATGAGTGGCCGGTTCTGAATTGGTACCAGTTCGAGCTTAACTGTTTTATGATCTAGAAATTGTTAATCTTCACTCCCCTGAAACCAGGGGGTGATGCGAATATGACCCGACGTATCTAGGGATCATGGCCCTCGTTCTCTTTAGTATTTAAGCTGGAGGAACTTGAGCATCCATTGTCACAATGGTGCACAGACTTGTCCATTAAATCAATTACGTCGGCATTCTGCTATCATGTCAATTATCATCATTGGAAATGAACTGTGGCCGCTATTTTCCACATAAATTATTTGTTTGTTATGCTTTGCCTGAAACTTGATTCTTTAATTAATACGGTTTATCTCATTTATAAGATAAACCAATTTAATGAAAGAGAATTGATTAATGCATCATTCGGATCCGTATCTTGTTTCCCGCTAATCAACGTCACGTGACTCTTCAGCCTTACATTGAACTAGCCACTCTTGTAGATATGTGAAAGTTTCAAAAACCCACCCACCTCCCATTGCAATCTACCATCTAATAACAATTTCTTTTGTCTGCTGCTGTTTTATTATTTTTTCAGGATGAGCAGAAAAAGCCGGATCTATAATGTTATTGGACTAGATAGAGAGGACAAACAAAACTGATGGATTTGCTTGCTGAATCATACTTTCGAGAACTATATATGTTAATGTTAATTTTAGTGAGTGGCTTTTACTTTTGCCGAGATATTCAGATACCAGCAGAGTGAAAATGGAACTATCAATATGCGTTATTAGTTTGTCCACCAGGAATGCATTAAACTTTTAATTTTCCTTTGTTAAATATCAGCATTTATCTTGATTACTTGATTTTAATTTGTTCATTATATTGTAATAAAATGTTTTGTCACAGTCAAAAACGTATGTTGGGATCTGGCAAGATTAAGGGGTTATGATCCTTTCCTGTATTGTACGTCGGATCATATTAGGTTTTTACTTTCCTGCGGTACCGCAGGAAGTTCTGTTAAGACCATCTCATGTATATACCATGAGTGGCCGGTTCTGAATTGGTACCAGTTCGAGCTTAACTGTTTTATGATCTAGAAATTGTTAATCTTCACTCCCCTGAAACCAGGGGGTGATGCGAATATGACCTGACGTATCTAGGGATCATGGCCCTCGTTCTCTTTAGTATTTAACCTGGAGGAACTTGAGCATCCATTGTCACAATGGTGCACAGACTTGTCCATCAAATCAATTACGTCAGCATTCTGCTATCATGTCAGATCTCATCATTCGAAGTGAACTGTGGCCGCTATTTTCCACATAAATTATTTGTTTGTTATGCTTTGCCTGAAACTTGATTCTTTAATTAAATAGACTTTTTTCAGTTAACATTTAGATACTGTGAATGAATAAAGTCTTTTAGTCATCAATAAATTAGTCAAACCTTCATGGGATTTTACTTTTTTTATTTTAAGTTCAATTGGACAGAAGCTTTTGTATATATAAATAAACAAAAGACAATTTCCAGAGCAAAATAATGAAAGTATTTTTTTTTCATTTTTTATTATTTGACTGATAAAAGGCTTGAATAGTTTTTTTGCAGTTAACAAGTAGATACAGTCTGGGGTTAAAGTTTGTTACACATAAATTTCTTTGTCAAACCTTCATAGAATTTTATAAAAATTTTATAATGGAAGAAGCTTTTTATGATATAGAGACAATGTCTAATGCAAAATTTTGAAAATATATATATTTTTTTTAATTTATTAGTACCTTACTGATAGATGAACTTAGTTTTATGTTGTTAACATTGAAAAATAGTCTGGGAATAAATTGTTTGACATGACGAATAAGTAAACCTTCTTTGATTGTTATGAAACTTGGAAAAAAGCTAATCTTCAAGATCAAGAAATAGCATCTAAAGAAAATGTTTGATTTTTTGGTTTAATTCTGTATTTTACTGATAAATGATTCACTTTTTACTGTCAACATTACACTTTACTCTGACAGCAGAAATGGCAGGCTAGGCAGAGGTTTCTGTGGAACCCTTAACAAATTTCTTTTATCACACAAGATGCAGATACAAAAATGAATTTATAAACTTTATGAGTCTAAAGTCATTTTCTGGATTTACCTCAAGGAACTCTCAACTACTGAAACAATATGAAGAGCTATATGACCAGGGTTTCCCCTGGGTCAATTTTCTTTTCCGCCACCTCTTTCACCAAAACAATATATTTTTCTCCACTTTCAATTTTTTTTCGCCAACTAACAACTGACATTAACATATTTTCTTTAAAATTTTCCTTCTTTCTTACAAAAAAAAAATCAGTTTGCCCCGGGGCCATTGTCATCTATAATAGTTCTACAAATCTTTTTATTTTATTAACTACATTGTAATGAATAAACACTAAACATTTACCTTTCAACAGATACTGTTAAATTGCATGAATTGCAATATAGATCATGAAATCATAATTTCTGACTTCTGGGAACACAAGATTTATCTTCAATAAGTTTATCAGATATATATTTTACCGTCTAGTAGAAGGATAAAGGCTGAAGTCAGAGATTTTTCTTACTTTTGAATATATTTCTTCGTAGCAACAGTTTACTTTTCCGGACAATCGTAAAAAGAAAAAGTGGAGATGTAAAAAAATGCTTGAAACAGGTGCATCGCCAAAACGGTTGTAAAGTACTGGTACCCACTTCAAATCAATTATTTCTATCAAAGTTAAAGGATAAAGTTTAAAGTCAGAGACTTTTCTTGCTTTTTAACAGTTTTCGTCATAACAACAGTTTTCTTTTCCGGACCATTGTTAAAAAGAAAGCGAGAAGAGATAAAACTATGCTTCAAACACGTGCGTTGTAAAGTTGTAAATTAATCCTTTGATTAAGCAGGTGACAAGTGATGCCATTTAACCACATCATTTCGTAAAATAATACAATGAACACCTTTATTCATTAGTTCAAAATTTTAAAATGCACTCAGCTGATTATTGGTTTTCTGTCAAAGTCGTAACGAGTTCAAGGTGAATTCTGAATATTGTCTGATCAGATAAAGTCTGAGAAACCCAAAAAAGTAAACAAGATAGATGAAATCGAATTGTTATATTTATTTTTCAATATTGAATTTTAATCGCCACAATTTTAATTTTTTCCCCAAAATGCGAAAATGGCGACCGCCAGCGGAAACCCTGTATATGACTAAAAGGGACCTACAAAATAATAACCAAATCCCTCTAAACTATATGACCAAAAGTGACCTAAAAATAATAAGCAAATCTATCTAAGCTATATGACCAAAAGGTACCAATAAAAACCAAATCCATCTTAGGCCAGCTTTGCCTGAGGGAGTTGGGACCTGATCAGTTTCTTAATTTCTTACTTCACAATTTAATAAAGATATGTTATAAATCTTGACAATACCGAAGCGCAACCTAATGAGCTGATGATACTCTTGAGAATAACATTCAACCAGCAGCAATATTGACTTGGTGCTATAAAATATGTAAATAACACTTTACCGTTATTTTATTGGCCTTATTTTATTCTGAATGATTTTTAGATCATATATATTAAAACTTTATACTTTTCACTGTTCTGCAAAAATCTTGAGCTTTTTATGTTACTTCTTCGGGAATGGACACCTTTATTTGTGAAGTCAAAGATACCAAATTAAGAGAAAAGCAAGAAGTCATAATTGAATTTCAACCATTTCAGACCTGAAATTCAGTAAAATAAAGGTTGATTATAGAAAATTAACCATTTGGAGAAAACATTATTCGGATAGGAATTGTGAATAACAGCATTATTGGTACATTTTTTTTTAGTGATTTAGGCAAAATTTATAATTTTATGGATTTCAGGCTCCTTTTAATGTCTCTAGTTTAACCATCTTGAATATATTATCTTTTGAAAAAAAGCACGAAAGACTCTTTGTCGTTTCTGTTTTGGTTAAAATTATGTTTTAACGGATATTTTATCTTTTCAGCGTGATCATTTATGATGTGTTTAATTTGTAAAAAAGGAATGATGCAAACCTCCCAGCAATCAGACAGATGGAGGAAATCATAATAAGGATACAGACATTAATTGACTTGTTTGTTCATTTTTTCGGCCAGAGGAATGATTTGAGACAATAGCCATGTATAGAATACAATGACAAAAATAAATGTTACTTTTTGATTATCTTTTTTTAATATTTAGTTATGACCTTAGTGTTATGTTTTTATTCTCTGACTTATTGATTGACCTTTTTAGGGGCCCATGTGAGCTTATTCCATCACTTGGCGTCCATCGTCGTCCGTCGTCTTCTGTCGTCGTAAACTATTTAAAAAATCTTCTCCTCTGAAACTACTAGGCCAAATACCTTCAAACTTAAACTGAATGTTCCTTAGGGTATCTAGTTTATAAATTATATCCAAAGTTTTGATCCATCAACAAACATGGCCACCATGGCTAAAAAAGGGACATAGGGGTCAAATGCAGTTTTTGGCTGATATCTCAAAAACTAAAGCTTTTAGTGCAAATCTGACATGGGGTTAAAATGTTTAATTCAAAATGGTCAAGATCTATCAGCCCTGTAATTTTCAGACGAATCAAACAACCCATTGTTGGGTTGCTGCCACTAAATTGGTAATTTAAAGGAAATTTTGCAGTTTTTTGTTATTATCTTTAATATTATTATAAATAGAGATAAACTGTAAACAGCAATAATGATCAGCAAAGTAAGATCTACAAAAAAGTTAATATAACCCAAATTGTCAATAACCCCTTAAGGAGTTATTGCCCTTTAAAGACAATTTTACACAATTTGTTCATCATGTTTGCTAACATTTAAAAATCTTCTTCCTGAAACTACTGTGCCTAATACTTCTAACCTTTAAATGAATGTGCCTTTAGGAATCTAGTTTATGAATTGTATCTGAATTTTCGATCCATCAACAAACATGGCAGCCATGGCTAAAAATAGAACATAGGGGTCAAATGCAGTTTTTGGCTTTTATCTCAAAAACTAAAGCATATAGAGATAATCTGACAGGGGTAAAAATGTTCATCAGGTCACGATCTATCTGCTCCGAAATTTTCAGACGCATCAAACAACCTGTTGTTGGGTTACTGTCCCTGAATTGGTAATTTTAAGGAAATTTTGCAGTTTTTGGTTATTATCTGGAATATTATAATAGATGAAGATAAACTGTAAACAGCAAAATTGTTCAGCAAAGTAAGGTCTACAAATAAGTCAACATGACCAAAATGGTCAATTGACCCCATAAGGAGTTATTGCCCTTTAAGGACAATTTTACACAATTTGTTTATGTTTTCTATAAACTTTAAAAAATCTTCTCAAATGAATCTAGTATAAAATTTGTATTTTATTTCCTTGTACGTCAAGAAACATAGCCACTTTGGCTAAAATGCATTTATTTGCTTTTGAAGAAAATATGACAGATACAAAGAACATTTAAATGGCATTTTTAAGCCACTCATTAATATATATTGAAAAGCAAAAATAATCATTTATGAAAGATTTAAGCAAAAAATAACAGGTGAGCGATTCAGACAACTATATAGCAGAAGATACCAATGCACGAAGCTAAACAAAATCCATTAGAAGAACAACACTAGATAAAACCATTGGCAAAAAAATGCAAAATGACTAAGAAGCCTTCCATCCTCCCCCCCCCCCCCCCCCCCCCCCAAAAAAAAAAAAAAAAAATCGTATAATTTTGTGTTAAAATGCAATTTTGGTGAAACAGGAGAAACAGAATCCAGTTTTTAATTAGCTGTTAATTTGTTTTGAGCCGTTTGAAGCTTTTGTTTGGTTGTTATGCTGAGATTGATTGAATAGTTTAATTCATATTTTCTCAGTAAAGCTAATAAACGTGAATGCCATGATCGTTGTTTTGTCTTACTAGTTTCATGGATAGTCCGAACTATTCTATCATCCTCTAAATTAGAAAGTATGAAAAATAATCTTATTACTTCAATGTTCTGTTTTGTTTTTACCGTTTTCCATCCCATATCACCACGAACGGCTAGATTGGTGGAGTTTTTAAAGGCCCCTAAAAAGTATCGACATGACCTATTTTGCACAGTTTCTAGTTGCTTATGTTCCGATATACCCCAAATACTAGATCCATACAACAAAACAGGTTGAACAAGGTTTTCATATAATTTTTCGTATATATCAAAGTCCATTCCGCCACAGGCTATAAATTTAGTATAAAGTGCTGACAAAGCTCGACTGGCTGATTTTCTCACCTCTCTAACCGTAAATCTCCAGTCTAGGTGTTCATCTATCCACATACCAAGATACCTATATTTGCTGTCATATTTCACAACGGTATTTCCACAAGTAAAATAAAAGTTAGATCGAGGTGATGACCCACATCTGAAATGCACTACACTAGTTTTGTCAAAATTAATACAAAGTCTCCATTTGGAACACCATTTATGAACAATATCCAACATTTGCCGAAGGTATTCTTCGTTGGGCGCCAATAGAACAATGTCATCTGCGTATAACAATATCGAAAGCATACTATCTGCATTTATTGGTAAACCCAAATTTAAAGAGTTGATTTCATCTGCCAGATCGTTTACATAAACTGAAAACAACGTCGGGGATAACTTACATCCTTGTTTCACTCCCAAATTAATGTTAAACATGTCTGTCATGTACCCATTGATTTTTACTGCATAACGAACATCTACGTACAGTGACTGTAAACCTTTCAAGAACTTTCCATTTATACCAAGTGCCATCAATTTATACCACAACATTTCTCTGTTCACGGTGTCAAAGGCCTTTTTTACGACTATAAAGCACGCAAACGTCGATTTACGTTCAATTTTCCTATTAGTAATAAGAGTTGTTAAAGCGTAAAGATGTTCCATACAGCCACGATCCTTCCTGAAACCGTTTTGTTCGTCAGCTAGTATTTTATTGTCTTCTAACCAAGATGACAATCGTACATTTAAAATGTCAGCATATATTTTACAAGGAATTGACATAAGAGCTATTCCTCTATACCCCAGGGGATCACGGTTGTCTTTATCTGGTTTTAAAATAGGATTGATCAAAATTTGGTTCCAAGTTTCCGGTACAACTCCGTTATCGAATGCAAATTTTATGATCTTGAATATCATATCAAAATAATGAATTGTTCCGAAGAAATTCTGCGCATATCTGGTCTATAACATCAGCCGTACAGCTACTTTCTGTTTGTTGAAATTTTGAAATGTTACAACACTCAAGTCAAATCATCAATACCTACACACTCTGGATCTTCAAAATACAATTATGTGCCTCCAAGAACACTTTCTTTGGGAATTTCAAAAACAAACTACTAGTATGTCAAATTTAATCCCATCTTTGGAAAATTTTACTAGATGCCATGATGTCAATGAACCTATCTCAAATTTAAAGCACCAAGAGGACAAGCTGGTGTCTCAATCTTGTGGCCCAGACAATGGTCGAGCAAAATTAAGAAACTGGAGGTAGGAAATGAACGAATCATTGCTATAACTATAGCAACCGATCCTATGCTCTGTATCATCAATGCATATATGCCTACAATAAATACTAACTCTGAAACACAATACTCTGAATGCCTGGATATAATCTTCGACATCATTGAAAAATATCAATCCAAATATGTTATAATTCTGGCTGGCGATCTTAATGGGACCTTTCTTCAGACTAGAACACACAAACATGATAGATTGTTGAGGGAGTTTGTTCAGGAAGTTTCTCTTTTTCGACCCGATATAGGCAACCAACCTACCTTCTTCCAGCATGCTCACCATGGATCCTCACAGATTGATTATATTCTTTCCAACAGGAATAATTTATCTAAAAAGAACTGTATTCTAGACAAATCCTATGCCAACACTTCGGCACATTGTGCAGTTATTCTACAAACAAATATCAGCATTCCTCTTCTTGTCCACAATACAAGTCAAAAGAAAATCACCAAAATGAAAGTCTTATGTAAAAAAAAGGGATGAAGAGAAATATAGGGAAACAATCCTAAATGAGTTGCTTCATAAGGATCTTCCAACACTGGAAATTGATCAGCAAATAGATAGTATCTCAAATTCACTTATTAATGCTCAAAAACAGTCTATTCCGTCCAAAATTACACAGTTGAAAGGCCCAAAATGGAAGGCTTTCACTGAAGTTACAGTCTTACTTAAGATGTGTAAAGTTCTCTACAACAAATGGGCAGAGTTGGGCAAACCAACTGGACATCCGTTATCTCTTGAATTAAGGACCCATAAAAAAATACCATTCATAGACAAATTATGAACACCTCTAGCTCACAAATGTTCCACAGAATCATCAGAAGAAATATGGGTGACAAATCTCAATGAGCAGTAAATTGTATAAAAACTGATGAGAATGAATATCTGTTTCTGGCTAAAGACCAAAGGAAAGCTTTTGCAAGCTATTATGAAGACTTAAGTGCTCCAAAACCTGAACAATACGATGATCTATATGTAAATTTATGCAAAATCCGTCAAAAAGAAATGACGAAAACTTTTGAAGACCTTTCAACTATTTTACAGCTGTTGATATAATTAAAGATATCGAAGAATTAAATATGAATAAAAGTATTGACGAATTTGGACTATGTGCTGAACATCTCAAATTTTGCAAAAATGAAATAGGACCTTATCTAACTAAACTTTTCAACAATATAATAGTAACCCTAAGGACCTCAGGTACCTTTAAAACCGGCATTCTCTTCCCCGTCTTAAAAAAGGACAAGGATCCTTCTGATGTAAACAGTTACCGGAGTATCACAGTAACCCCAGTTCTAGGAAAAGTCTTCGAATACTGCATTTTACCAAAACTCAATCTTCAAAACATTACGGATTTACAGTTTGGCTTCACTAAAGGCCTAAATCCTCTTATCTCTAGTTTCATTATATCTGAACCAAAATATGATCAAACAAGGAAAAATAGTGAATTCTATATGGGTTTCTTGGATGTCAAATCAGCCTTTGACGTGGTACAGCATGACATTATTCTAGATAAATTATTAGACTCAAATATTCCCTCCTTTCTATGGCTGGTGATTAAAGATCTATATTCTAATTTGACAACAAAAGTACAATGGCAAGGCGATCTTAGCGAAAAAATTTCTGTGTACAAGATCTACTCTTAGAACTAGAAA